AGAGAGATTCAAAAAGCGCAAGGCTATAGGCTTACCAAAATATCCGATTTTTGACCAAAAATATTTTCATCTAAATGCCTAAAAATACTCTAAGAGAAGCCATCAAAATGTTTAAATTAACTTTGACTCTATTTCATGTTGTTTTTGATTCATAGAAAGCAGATTTATCTTCGATAACGATTTTCGTCAAAAAAGCAAGGCTATAGGCTTACCAAAATATCCGATTTTTGACCAAAAATTTTTTCATCTAAAACTTCGCTAAAAATACTCTAAAGAAGCCATCAAATCGTTTAAATTAACTTCTGACTCTATTTCATGTTGTTTTTGATCTAGAATAGCAGCTTTTTTCGATAACGATTTTCGTCAAAAAAGCAAGGCTATAGGCTTACCAAAATATCCGATTTTTGACGAAAAATTTTTTCATCTAAAACTTCGCTAAAAATACTCTAAAGAAGCCATCAATTCGTTTAAATTAACTTCTGACTCTATTTCATGTTGTTTTTGATCTAGAATAGCAGCTATTTTCGATGAAGATTTTCGTCAAAAGGGCAAGGCTATAGGCTTACGAAATATCCGATTTTTGACCAGCAATTTTTTCATCTAAAACTTCGCTAAAAATACTCTAAAGAAGCCATTAAATCGTTTAAATCAACTGTCGACATTTTTTAATGTTGTTTTTGAACTAAAATAGCAGCTTTTTTTTGAATAAGATTTTCGTCAAAAGGGCAAGGCTATAGGCTTAAGAAAATATCCGATTTTTGACCAAAAATTTTTTCATCTAAAATTTCATTAAATATACTCTAAAGAAGCCATTAAATCGTTTAAATTAACTTCTGACTCTTTTTTATGTTGTTTTTGATCTAGAATAGCAGCTTTTTTCGATAACGATTTTAGTCAAAAAGGCAAGGCTATAGGCTTACCAAAATATCCAATTTTTGACCAAAAAGTTTTTCATCTAAAACCTGCCTAACTATACTCTCAAAAGGCCAAAAAATCGTTTAAATTAACTTCTGACTCTATTTTATGTTGTTTTTCTATCTAAAAAAGCAGCTATTTTTGATGCCGATTTTCGTCAAAAAGGCAAGGCTATAGGCTTACCAAAATATCCGATTTTTGACCAAAAATATTTTCATCTAAAACTTCGCTAAAAATACTCTAGAGAAGCCATCAAATCGTTTAAATTAACTTCTGACTCTATTTCATGTTGTTTTTGATCTAGAATAGCAGCTTTTTTCGATAACGATTTTCGTCAAAAAAGCAAGGCTATAGGCTTACCAAAATATCCGATTTTTGACCAAAAATTTTTTCATCTAAAACTTCGCTAAAAATACTCTAAAGAAGCCTTCAAATCGTTTAAATTAACTTCTGACTCTATTTCATGTTGTTTTTGATCTAGAATAGCAGCTATTTTCGATGAAGATTTTCGTCAAAAGGGCAAGGCTATAGGCTTACGAAATATCCGATTTTTGACCAACAATTTTTTCATCTAAAACTTCGCTAAAAATACTCTAAAGAAGCCATTAAATCGTTTAAATCAACTGTCGACATTTTTTAATGTTGTTTTTGAGCTAAAATAGCAGCTATTTTTGATGCCGATTTTCGTCAAAAAGGCAAGGCTATAGGCTTACCAAAATATCCGATTTTTGACGAAAAATTTTTTCATCTAAAATTTCATTAAATATACTCTAAAGAAGCCATTAAATCGTTTAAATTAACTTCTGACTCTTTTTTATGTTGTTTTTGATCTAGAATAGCAGCTTTTTTCGATAACGATTTTAGTCAAAAAGGCAAGGCTATAGGCTTACCAAAATATCCAATTTTTGACCAAAAAGTTTTTCATCTAAAACCTGCCTAACTATACTCTCAAAAGGCCAAAAAATCGTTTAAATTAACTTCTGACTCTATTTTATGTTGTTTTTCTATCTAAAAAAGCAGCTATTTTTGATGCCGATTTTCGTCAAAAAGGCAAGGCTATAGGCTTACCAAAATATCCGATTTTTGACCAAAAATATTTTCATCTAAAACTTCGCTAAAAATACTCTAGAGAAGCCATCAAATCGTTTAAATTAACTTCTGACTCTATTTCATGTTGTTTTTGATCTAGAATAGCATCTTTTTTCGATAACGATTTTCGTCAAAAAAGCAAGGCTATAGGCTTACCAAAATATCCGATTTTTGACCAAAAATTTTTTCATCTAAAACTTCGCTAAAAATACTCTAAAGAAGCCATCAAATCGTTTAAATTAACTTCTGACTCTATTTCATGTTGTTTTTGATCTAGAATAGCAGCTATTTTCGATGAAGATTTTCGTCAAAAGGGCAAGGCTATAGGCTTACGAAATATCCGATTTTTGACCAACAATTTTTTCATCTAAAACTTCGCTAAAAATACTCTAAAGAAGCCATTAAATCGTTTAAATCAACTGTCGACATTTTTTAATGTTGTTTTTGAGCTAAAATAGCAGCTATTTTTGATGAAGATTTTCGTCAAAAGGGCAAGGCTATAGGCTTACGAAAATATCCGATTTTTGACCAAAAATTTTTTCATCTAAAATTTCATTAAATATACTCTAAAGAAGCCATTAAATCGTTTAAATTAACTTCTGACTCTTTTTTATGTTGTTTTTGATCTAGAATAGCAGCTTTTTTCGAACACGATTTTCGTCAAAAAGGCAAGGCTATAGGCTTACCAAAATATCCAATTTTTAACCAAAAAGTTTTTCATCTAAAACCTGCCTAACTATACTCTCAAAAGGCCATAAAATCGTTTAAATTAACTTCTTACTCTATTTTATGTTGTTTTTCTATCTAAAAAAGCAGCTATTTTTGATGCCGATTTTCGTCAAAAAAGCAAGGCTATAGGCTTACGAAATATCCGATTTTTGACCAAAAATTTTTTCATCTAAAACTTCGCTAAAAATACTCTAAAGAAGCCATCAAATCGTTTAAATTAACTTCTGACTCTATTTCATGTTGTTTTTGATCTAGAATAGCAGCTATTTTCGATGAAGATTTTCGTCAAAAGGGCAAGGCTATAGGCTTACGAAATATCCGATTTTTGACCAACAATTTTTTCATCTAAAACTTCGCTAAAAATACTCTAAAGAAGCCATTAAATCGTTTAAATCAACTGTCGACATTTTTTAATGTTGTTTTTGAGCTAAAATAGCAGCTATTTTTGATGAAGATTTTTGTCAAAAGGGCAAGGCTATAGGCTTACGAAAATATCCGATTTTTGACCAAAAATTTTTTCATCTAAAATTTCATTAAATATACTCTAAAGAAGCCATTAAATCGTTTAAATTAACTTCTGACTCTTTTTTATGTTGTTTTTGATCTAGAATAGCAGCTTTTTTCGATAACGATTTTCGTCAAATAGGCAAGGCTATAGGCTTACCAAAATATCCAATTTTTGACCAAAAAGTTTTTCATCTAAAACCTGCCTAACTATACTCTCAAAAGGCCATAAAATCGTTTAAGTTAAGTTTTGACTCAAATTGATCTTTTTTTTATCTTAAATAGCAGCTATTCTCGATGATATTTTTCGTCAAAAAGGCAAGGCTATAGGCTTACCAAATATCCGATTTTCGACAAAAAAAATTTCCATCCAAAACTTGGTTGAATATACTCCAAGAAAGCCGCAAAATTGTTCTTCAAATATCAAAATAGTGATGATCGAACATTCAAAATAGACCTTTGGAGTGCTTATCATCTGGTTCCTAAGAAAGAAACGGATGTTTCTCGTTAAAAAAACCCAGTTTTCTCGTCCCAAAAGTAAGGCTTAGGACAATTCAAGTTGGAGTTGATCTACACATTCAAAAAAGACCTTAAGAATACTTTTCAACTGGTCCTTAGAAAAAAAGGAATGAATTTTATCAAATCCTTTACCCAGTTTCTCGTTCTAGAAATAAGGCAGATTAAGAGGTAGAAAAGATGAGAAATACACAGCAATCTTTGTGCAGTTTAAAAATTAACGAAGTATTTCTCATATTTTACATATGTACCCTAAACTCAATCCAGCATTTTATAGTTAATGTCATGGACATCGATTTAAAGTGCAAAACACTCGATTGGTATTCCATGCTACTAAAGAAAAATGCATTATTTTACTCTAAAAGCGCAAGATGACTTTGTCCTTCCAAGGCCTGATCCAAATTGTACACCAATTGCCTGATACCTATGGCTTATTTTGTCATAAAAGTAATCATTAACAAGTAATTTTGGCACAAGCTAGCATCATCTTTTCAGGAACGACGGAGAGAATTCTAGGGTGGGGAGAGGGTGGCGCGCTAGACAAATTGGCTAGACAAACTTTTATGGTAGTCTTCAATCATTAAGCCTTGAAATAATGCTTCCGCAAATGTGAGGGGGCTACAGCCACCCCCAGCCCCTCCGGCTCCGGCATGCCAGGTATATTCACTGACACTATAGGCAATGATAGAATATTGCTTCACATTAAGAACTACAATTACAAATATATTATTTGTTGTGGATCGGAGAAACGAAATTCTGTTTCGATATGTTTTTACCGTACTAACTGGGGCAGGAGAGCAACTGCCCTTCAGATTCGGTAACATTTTACTTTGAGAAAATAGACCATTATCCCCTTTTCAAAAGATCAGAGACTTGAGCCAGGATCTTAAGTGGCTTGGAAAGGGCTATGATGACCAATCGCATGCTTCTCCGTGAATACACATTGCGCTGAAAGCTTACACAAAGAGCGCTTCAGTTATATAACCATTTAGTATAAATTTTTATCTACAAGGCTATTATAAAATTTGGTGGCCATACTAAACCACAGTCATAGATCAACAAAGATTTCTACAGAAAGAACAACCTGACTTGAATGCTATACGCCTTGATTAGAAACGAAGTTGGTGCCTTCTTTTACGTGCAGAGAAGTGCCTTCCTTTAGGTGCCAAAGGAAGCAATAGAAATCTTAATGCAAGAACTTTTATTCCATTGAGTGCTTATAGGTAAGTATTTCAAGCCATAAGAATATTAGTGCATATCTACAAATAGACATAAAGAGATGCAGCTTGGTCGACTAGATCTTATGGAAAATCGGCACAGGAACGTTATGCCCTTCTGAAGAAACATTGGCTACACACCTTTTGAAGGAATGATGGAACTGAATACCATGCTCAGTTCCAAATTCTGATTCATATAATCATTAGATCTATCTAAAACATTTGCATCTCGTATTCTGAAGGATGGCAAACCAGTGAAGTTGGGCTTTGGAGAGGGATATGCCGCACTGAGTCATAGAAACGAATGCCAAGTCTACATGCTCAGTTAGACATAGCCATTGTCCTTCTACAAAAAAATCGAAACTTCCTACCTCCTACTTCTCTTTGAGTTCTTGAAACAAATAAAAACTGCGTGCATAAACTAAAAAGGTATGAAGCTAAAGTGTCTTTTAGAACTTGTCTGACTTCTCGTTTACGAAAGCGACAGAGGATCCGGCTCTTGGCGATGGTGACTGCTCATCCATCTCAAAAGCCTCGTTGCCTTGTGGCACTGTGTCTTTCTTTGGACCGTTTTTGAGGAAATCTTTCTGCTGTACTTGGTGCTTTTGTCGCAGTTCAACGACATTTTCCTTCCACCGCTCATGAAACTCTTTTATTTCAGAAAGCAACACCTCTTTCATCTTTTGAGCTCTCAAGGCCATTTCTTTTATTTCCGGCGTCTCGACCATCTCCAGATCTGCAAAACAGAGAAAAAATGATAATGAAATCAGCAAAAACAAACTTATTTATCTGGGACTTCTTCCTATTATAAATCAGGCTATATCAAACTTAACTGGCTAAATCGCCATTGTCTGTCATGATTTTATTTGAATTTTGCTTTTATGTAGGAAACCTACTGCATTCTATAATTTTAACAGAGTTAGGATTACAAAGTACAGTAAACTCCCGATACCTCGAACCCCGGATAACTCCGAACATTCGCTAAGTCGAACTGATATTGCACCCCCCCTTGCCCAATACATTCATATAAAAATGCCCCCCATTTTTCGAACGTTCCCTATCTCGAACCGCTTCATTGGTCCTGAGAGGTCCGAGTTGACTTGAGTTTACTGTAGTTAAAGCATTGAAAAGATACATTAAGACAGTGTAAAGCAATCAGTAAATTCTTGATAGCTCGAGCCTTCAAGAGAACGATGAATCTGTTCAGAGGTAACGAATATTGGATCGCGGTATTGAAAGTAATTGGGAAGTTCAAGGGGGAACAAAACAAACCGATAAATGGGGGTTTTAAGTTATCGGAGGTTCAAGTTGTTGGAGGATTGTGTAAACAGAGAAATACAAATAATAGGCGTAGTAGACTTACTTCTTGCAGCTAAGAGCATGATCTTTTTCGGCTTCAGATAGCAGTACTCGAACAGCAACCCAAGAATGGAAAAGACCACAAGAAGCACTGAAGATATTATGACCGCATTGAGGAAGAGCGAGCTTTTCGGATCAAACAAGCCTTTTGTGTTGTCAACTGCTGCGCTTGTGCTTTCCTCCTGCGCAATACGAATTAAAACCCATTCTAAACAAACCGCAGTAGAACAGACTGCAATTGGCAAGCATTATTCAGGAGAGAAGTTGATCAAAAAACCACGTGACAGATGAGTGGCTAACTCAATTCAGCTCTCAAAAATGTATGGAAACTAATCAATAATACTAGCCTACTTATCGAAAAGACATAATAAACTGTAGTTAACTTGTGCTGATTGTACCATGTAACCAAATAAAGTGAAAGCACGTTTTAGGAAAAGAAATTAACAGGGGCCAAGGTAGGGGTCCATAACAATCCCACAGTATAGAAAATGAAAAAGTCGAAGATCTCGCATTTTAAATTCCAAAAATATGTTCTTTACCTCTAGTGTTTGAGTTGTGTTTTCCACAGCTGTTGAAATATACTGTTTGTTTTGCTCCACATAATTTCTAAAACATTTTATCAAGGTATCATCTGCGGTGAGGGTTTGTCCAGGAACAAATCCATATGCTTTTGTAGTCTTAAAAATTTTGTTAACTCTTGCTTTTGTTTTCGGAAAATACTTCGGTGGCTGAGCAGCAACATAAGAGTCAAGGAGAACTGCTTTAATATTGGTTCTGTACAGAGCTTGGCTTAGAAGTTCTGCGCTCACGTAGCCTAATGAATATATTATGATATTATTCAATGTAATACAACATAATATTACATATGATATCATATGAAGTTCTGCGCTCACGTAGCCTAATGAATATATTATGATATTATTCAATGTAATACATAACATAACATAACATAACATAACATAACATACATAACATAACATAACATACATAACATAACATAACATAACATAACATAACATACATAACATAACATAACATAACATAACATAACATAACATAACATAACATAACATAACATAACATAACATAACATAACATAACATAACATAACATAACATAACATAACGAAATATGGCGGGATTTAATAATATGACTGTAGAAAATGTATATAGCATAAAAGAAAAAATAGGGTCAAATTCGATAAAATGTAAAAATGTATGACTAATGTAATACTTGGAAATTAAAAAATCAACTTACTGCTGACATTTGCGTTCTTCCTCACAGCATAATTAAACTCTCCTGAATCATTAAGCACACCAACCTTGAAAGACATGTAGTCAGCCTTGTCAGTCAACATATTTTCAAAAATATCTTTCAAAATCTAATGATATTGAAAATTCAAGACTAAAGATATGTGGTTAAGAATACGAATCAGAATTTAAAAGCATTTTACCTTAAAATTTTAGATAAAATTTTACCTTTGTTCCGTACATGTTGACGCTGGTCGAAAGACTGTTGACGGTAAGTGCAGTGGTGATGACCCCGGTAAAAATTGATATGATTATCAATCCAGTGAGAACCCACATTATAGCAAACAGTCGACCAGGCACACCGACGGGGGCAATGTCTCCATATCTAAGGTTAAAAGAAAATGTTAGGGAATCGCAGAAGTGACAAGAATTGGAAACCTGGAAAAACTGAGGAGCAAGTTAGGAGAAAACTGGCTAGACAGCTGCATTGGTTTGTTATTCATGAAAACACAATAGAGCGACAAACTCTCTTGATGTTTTAAAATGTGACAGTTCTTAGTTGAAACTTCAAGTTTCGCATTCAATCATTGGGCAATAATGCAGATACAACGATTGGAATTTGGCACAGTTACGTACAACCATAGACCATTCGAGAAATGGCTTTTCAGTTTACAAGGCATGATAATCTTTCATTTACATCAAACACAAATTGAAAGCAATAAACATTTCAAGGCCACAGTTGAATTTGCGGAGCAAAAAAAACAAGCCTACAATGTTTTAAATACTATTGCGATGTTGTAAAGAAAGAGAGCAGAAAATAGCACTCACCCCACAGTTGTCATTGTAACGAACGCCCACCAAAACCCCTCGATGATTCCCTCAGTAAAGGAACGTGGGAACTGTTCTTCGTTCCAGTATGTATCCTACAAAACAACACCGATCACGTTGTAATACAAAAAAGCCTGTATTATATCACGTCTCTTTATAATCACTAATCAAATGTACAATTTTGAAATACTGTAGATCCAAAGAAAATCCTCAAGGTGACTCATTTATTACAGAAATCTCGAATAAAAATTTAAGGAATGTATTTCCTTTAACTATCAGATTAAGAAAATACATTGACAATTTTATTGGAGTCCTTCTCCCCTTAATTGGAGTTCATTTTCATTTTTGCAAATAATAAGTTATTTAAATCAAAATAAGCCCATTCCACAAATCTAAATGGCTCACTAGTGTAAACCCCCAATTAAAAAGTTCCAAAAGTAATCTGACATGTTAATCTCTTAAGGCACCGCTGTTTTGGAAAAATGACCTCTAAAACACATTTTGCAAAGGATCCCTTCTCCTTAAAACCCTTTGCTCTACTGAAAGATTCTTATCAATAACCAAATTTCATACAATTAAGTGAATTATCAAAAATGCGAAAAAGGCAGAAAAGGGTAAAGTTAGAGAAACTTGAGTAGAAAAGATGAAAAAGTGAAGTTAGAGAAATATCATATAGCGGTTAGAAAAAAACAGAAGATGTACAACATAAAGAAAGAAGAGAAAGAATAATACACATTTTGGTATCGTAAAAAACTGTAACAGCAACAAAAAATTATCGAAGTATCAAATGGTATCTTACAAGCATCCACATAATCATTCCGGCCAGAACTGCCATTACGACGGTGAGAACAAGGATTGGCCAGCCATTGAGAATCGAATCAAAAATGACGCTTGCTTGACCGTCATTGTTGCTCTTAACCAAAAGTGCATACCCAGGTGAGTCGACAATTGGAATAAACAAATGGCTTGAGCTACGATCAAAACAAAATAGCAGGAAAATTCGAAACGTTTTAAGAATGTAAAAGGGGCAGGACTGGCTTCCAAAGTAAATGTCTGTCAGTACGTGCCATTAAGAGAAATCTAATGTTATACACTCTTTTTTTAAAAGAACCAGTAAATATGAGTTCAGGCTGATTGTTCTTGATTTTTTCGAAAATCTGGGGCTGGATTTTTCTTAATTTGTTCTTAAATTTATAGGGTATAAGCAGTGCGATTTCTAGCTTTTCGTTCTGATGAGGTGTTCAGGCCTTTTTTGCCAACAAAGTGCATGAGGCAACCTTCATTTGCCGCCATGTTTTAATATTCACCAAAAAAGCACCCACACATGGCTTAAAATCCTCATTTTTGAGATAAAACATTGTTCAAAATTTCATTTTGCACAACGTTTTTCATTCTGCCTCAGCTTGTCCTTAATTTGTTCTTAACTTTTGACCAATTTTGAGGCTCATGTTTTAAAAATATTGTTCTTATAAAAAAAAGAGTGTAAATCAGAACCTGTCTGTTAATTGATATCAGATCAAAACAAAATATATAATTCATTCCCCATGGATAGATTTTAAATGTGTATATATTGTTAGCTAAAGTGCTAAATCGAATGTGCACGAATACAGCAACAACCACAATAACAATAACAACAACAGAACCGCATTAGCAGCAGTAATACTGCTATAAACTTAGACTCCAAACGAACATAAATGGAACATTATATTTGCTTAGGTCAAAATCACAGTAACTGAAGCGTGTTTGCAACCTAGTGAGTGTCCATCTATACATTAAACTAGCATTTTGTCATATCATCCCACTGTACCTATGCTTATTCGCTGCCAATCCACTCAATTCCTTATTTGACTTTACATAACAGATGAGAACATCAAGAATGGGAGAAGAAAGGCTGCTACTACATTTTTTTAAGATTTATAAGAAACCCTAAGGTAATGGAAATAAAAAAAACCGCCGTGTCTGCTTTCATGCAGCAATATTTATGAATGAAAACTCTATAATTGTCTAATACTTGCATTGACGTAAATTAAGATAGAATTTTTCTCTCTTGTGTGACTTGGGTTCTAAAGGAAATAAACAATTTCTCTATACATCAGTTCCAAATGCAACGACAAAATTCCTTACAAACCTGTAGTATTCACTGGTTTTCGACCCTTCAATTGGAAAACTGAGATCAAATGATCCAATTTCAAGCTGCTCTTTCATTTTTGACATCGACTTTTTCTTCAAATCTGCAGGCTTTTCCCAAATAATATCTGAAGACCCGTGTCCACGAGAACAGGACCCACAACAGTCTTTTATCATTTTGTCCAATATGATAAAAAATATCCCACCGTACTGGTCACCACTTTTAACATATCTCGAGTAGGGTGCATAATCATAGGAGTTCGTCGTGATTGATTTTGGGCAGGAGCATTTCTCTATAACGATAAAAATCACATTGATTAACAGTTGCTACGAAAACTTCGAATGCAACACATTACCTAAAAGTTTCAATCGCTGGAGCCTTTTTCTCAAGAGTCTGTGTAAGCGCTTCTCTAGAGGAGTGTTGTACTTTTCTTCCTAGAGTAAAAAGCTGCTTTTCGCCAAGGGTACAAAGTAGAGTTTCCCCCAAAACAGTGCATTGTAGCATCCTCGTAACACATACTTAATTTGTACTATTTCTACACATTAGCTAGCCCCTAGAAGTTCCACTCTAGCGTTGTCAGTGCTCCTTTGGCTGAGAATGCTGAGAATGTTCCTTTATATCACCTTTTTAATAAATTCCTCTTAGAAATTCTGAAATCTAAAAGATCTAGTTTAAAATCTAAAAAAACCTTTTCAAAGGATACCTTGTACTTTCAAACTAAACGGGGCCACGGTGGTTCCAAGTTTGTTAATGGCTTTGCATTGGTAATCTTTGGCATCAGACATTGCTACATCTTTTATAGTCAATATGCCATTCACAGCAGCATGGTACCTACAAATAAAAAAAATCAAAAAACAGGGCACTTTGGACGCGAGTGTGGCATTCCCCTTACTTGCCTGATACTTGGCTGGCAACATTTATAAGAGACAACATACAACCCCTTCCACAATAGCCACGACATTCAACCCCCACACCCTACCAGCCGATCCAGCATCAGCCGATCCAGCACCCCATACGCCTCACAATAAGCACAGACTCTAATAAGAATTTTTACCTGATATGAAAGTTTGAAAAAGAACAGATTTAATAGCAAATAACTTAAGACTCTGTCCAGACCAATTCCGGGGGGGGAAGGGTCAGAAAAATATGAAGCATCAATAACAATAAATTAAAGAACAGTGGCCAGAATCAAATTCCGGTACAAGAAAAATATTAAATTGTTTAAAAAGTACAAATAATTACTGTTATATTAAGTAGAATTTTTTAATCTTGTGAAAAGATAATTTATATTGCTACTTAAAGAATAAAACGGATGGTATTCATATAATTCTTAGAAGATCAAAAAACACTCACTTGATACCGGTACTTGGAATTTTTACAAAGAATCCGGATCCGGTTGAATTTTCCATGAACCACTCAAAAGTAGGAGGCGGAATCGCAGTTGCATTACAAGCCACTTTCAGTGTCTCCTTCTCGGTTGAATGTACCGTTTGGTTGCATTTACTGTCTCCTAGTTTTCCTAGACATTGGATTCTTGGCGTATCTAAAATAATAAAATTTCAAACTATTTATGTGATCATGTAGATTGTGTTAACTCAATAGTGACAAAGTGAAGTACGTCCAAAAACAAAAAATCATGAATTCAAAAAAAGACAACTAGTACCAAAATGGGAGCCTATGGTAATTGAAAGTTCTGCTATATATGCTGATGATATTATCAGTAGAATTTTTTTCAGATTTAAATAGGCCTCGTGCTGCAATATGGTACACAGGGGATGTCTTAAAATTTAACCCTTCGTGATATTCAAAGGGTTATGTCGATTAGATGTGTCGGTGGGATTATCAGATTATCAGAGATATTTTACAGCAACTTCTATTTTGATCGCTAAATTATTTCCACATTTTAGCCAGAGGTCGTAAAAAAGGTTTCCAGCCTAAGTGATAAAATTGAAAGTGACAAAGGACTCGCGTAACAAGAGAGGTCTTTGTATCCATCTGGAGTGAGGATGATTCTGAGTCCATGTCATGACATGACAGCAGAGTTGCAAACAAGCTTTTATTCCAGGATTTGGCATCAGGGGCTGGGGTATCATTGGAAGAAAGAACCTAGACACTGCTGGATATACTCAGAGTCCCTCCAGCTAGGTAGTAACAACTACAAAAAATGAGAGGCCAGCCTCTCTTAATGTTCTGTATTATTACATAACCTGTTTAATTTTCTAGCTAAAAGCCTTGCAAGCAAGGGGAGTTTTGCCGGACCAATGAAGGATCGCGCCTTTAGAGGGTAATCATTTCCCCTTGCTTTGTTCTACAAACTGTTAGGGGGGTGGGGAGAGAGAAAATATTCATAGGCAAGAAATATATTTTGTTGCTATTTAGATTGAAGCATAGTTATCTTCCATGCAATAATAATAATAATAATCAATTTATTTAAAGTTGGCGCTAAATAGCTATTTACAAAGAAATGGGCTAATCCAAGCCAACTGTTAAAACTACTACATCAACTAAATACATACGAGATTAAATACATAAAATTTTAAGTACAAAATGATCCATTAAAAAACTATAAAAACCTGAGCTATTTAAAAGATAGAATTACAAAAAACCAAGCTGTGGCACGAACGTCCTACATAGTTTGCATGTACAGTCTGTGCCATTCCAGCTTTTAATTTCTTTGACTATCGCAAGAATCACTTTGACTATCGAAGAAAACTTTTACAATAATAAGTATCGAAATTACAAACCTTGAGTGACTTTGATAGTGTAGCTTGCGTTAAACCCTTTGAACGGGTTGTCGTTGTCAGACACAAACTTTATCAGCATACGTTTACAGCTTTCAAACTTTGGCGGAATGGTAAGAGTACCACAGTAGCCATCAAACGGTATCATTTGGGTCCATACACTTGAGCCAATGGTTTGCGTGTAAATAAACACGTGATCGTAGGAGGAGCACCTTTTGCTTGGCTCGAGTTGGAAGTCGTGGAAGGTGACTTTGATGTCTGCTGTGTTCCCAGCTGCTTCAAGAATCCAACCGCATTTCTGGTTGTTTAGGTAATTGCTTGGGTAGTTTTGCGAGTGGAACGTCCCACTGCTCCCAGATAACGTGTTCAAGCAGCCAGGCACTATAAGAGGCGATTGAAGTTGTTTTGAAACCAGATTGAAATTACCAACTCTGTTAATCTAAGCTCATAACATTACAAAATAGTGCTTTTTATGACATGAAACGTATTTCAATGTGTCCATATGAATGCATAATGCCTCTACCCTTCCCACAAGACTGGATTTATAGTGAGTACAGGCCCTCACCCCATCTCCCACTGCCAGCCTTTTTTCTCCAGATCAGAAGTGGTGCTTCAGACAACATTTCAAGGTGCCAATTTTCATACTTTACATAAATGCCGACGAAGAAAGTACTTTTCAAAGAAATTCAAAATGAAGTTTTCGCACATCTTAAAGGGTTTTTGGAGCAAAAGGTACCCTTTAACGGATATTGGTACCCCACGATTGCTAGTCACTGAACGAAGTCCATGACGTAATGATGGGGGCTAACTTAAATTTTGGGGCGCTCCCACTTCACCTCTGTGCCACCACTTCTATTTCGATATACATGTATTTTCTGAGCAATGTTTCAACCATGGGAAATAATTCTGGCTCTTTCGCAGCATACCCCTTTTACTGCTATTGGAAGCACTAGTATAGACAGGGCTATTGTTGCGATTACTCAGAACCATCCCTGCAAAAGGAAAACTACTAAGGCTGACTTACGGATATCTGCCAGTGGGTTGGCTTGTAATATCTCTACCTGAAAAAGCAAAAAGAAATTTTGAGACATATAATTTGCGAAAAGTGGCCTAGAGGTTATAATGCTTGATTACTGTGCAAGCACTAATTCTACCCTAAATAAGGCCTCCCACTTGCGTCGCAGTGTTAACTGATGACATCACTTTTTAAATTTACTTAAGAGAAGATTCTTTTAATGAATGCATTGGAAAAATCATCTCATTTTCCAAAAACTTCTGCTTTTGGGCATTTTCTTGCAGCAGGCTCTGGCGGGTCTCCCTTTGCAAGCTGGTAAGCAAGCCCGGACCGAACCCTCGCAACGGATGACAGCTAAACAGACTTAGCCACTCAACGATTCTCATGCACGTAAAATAATACTATGGGTCATTTTGCTATTGGTATTTGGCTTATTAGGCCCCAAAATAATCTATTCCCTCTCCCTGAGTTTTTTTGTAACTAGATGTCTTCAAGTCATGCATATATACATGAACATATAGATTCTTCACTGAGCCTCTGAGGTCTTTAAACATTTGCTTTGACGACGAACCTCAAAATGCATGCTAATTCTTTATAGCGGTCCAGCAGGCAGGTCGTCTGATTTTCTAAACAACAATCTAATATCTAAACAGAAAATTGTATTTCTGTTTCGTTTAAGGTTGGCCGTCCGCTTCAGGATACACGTAGCCTTACCAAAATTTCACAAAACGCGAATCCGCACGTTTTATCTTTCCGCGACGAATCTTTCCACGAAAACACAGTTAACATGACACTGAAAGCAAGCGCATTTGGGACAATTGGAAGAATTAAGCGGAAACTTAATTACTGTATCTGGAAATGTCCAAAGTGCAGATAAAGAAGGAATAAATAATCTTATCCATAGTTTAAAGAAAGTATTCAAGTTAAAATGTACGGCAAGAACATCACTGTGCGTGCAGCAAGAATACTTCTGTGCGCAAGGCAAAAATATTTCCCGATAGATATAAATTAAATTATAGAAATTAGGTAAATTAACTCTCAAGGCAAAACATGTGGGAAATATTGATCAAATTTCAATCCACTGGTTGAAATTGTATGCAGGCGTGAATCGGGAATAATCGAAAATATAGGTAGAGCAACTTACAAATGAAGCGACAAAGAGCAAAGCCAAAGCAAGTATGTTCTTCTTTCCGGCCATGACACCAGACTCTGTACCTCAACTTGCTTTGAAATTTCAAATTTCTAGCAGCAAGTGTGTCGATCAAAATTTGACATGTCAGTCTTCAAAGTTTTTGTCATTTGCGAAAATCCAAGCTACACAGAATGAATTATTGATGAATTCATCACCAAGATGCTGGTGGCAACATTTCAATTGTGATGCAATTTATTGAAGTTAAATGATGAATTGAAATAACCTGCTACCCGCGTTGCCTGGAGATGCAGAAGACATTTTAAAAACAATTTGGGTCTAATACATAATTGAAGGGTTCATGTCAAAACTTGGTTTATGTCAAAGAGCTATATTGTTGAACGACACGGCGCTGAAGTTCATAAAATTCTCAATGTTAAGTTACAAGAGTTCCCAGAAAGAAAATCTGGGACTGCACCCATGAACCGTATCTGTTGATCAGTCAGAATGTCTGCCTTCAAATAGCATTGCTACAATCTATGACTTGAAAATATTACTTGAAACTCATATCTATAAAAGCACTCCATAGAAACATTCAACGACCTTGTCTTGCACAAATACTTAAAATTTGCACATTTGTACATCTTCTTTGATACAAGTACTTGAAGATGTCAACAAACACTCTTTAAAAATAAGGGCAGTGTCATTTGTACAAATATTGATCAAAATCCTCATTTTGCATGAATGAGAGGGGAGGTTAAGGGTAAAGTAGGGAGAAATTAGCTGAAATAGTATGTGCTTATTTGACCCCCTCATGCCCAGGCCTTCCGACCCACTGATGCTGTTCAACTTTGGCGGATTAGAGTATCGCTCAGTCTAAACAACCCAGTAAGAATCTAGGCTACTTGCCCAAGTAGAAACTGCCTCGAGGGTTTACGACACAGGCCCCTTTGCTGATTACTAAGTACCGTTCATCATTGACATCACAAATATCAAGCTCTTAACACCCATCAAGAACAGGTGGCTTTGCTGACAATATGTAGTGGACATAATAATGCATTCAATGTGTCAGTAAACAATCCATTTCGCTCTCGATTAATATCACATCTTGCCCGCTACTGCCTTGCAAAAGCAAACAACAAAAGTTTTTTAACGAATTTTCTCACACATAGTAACCACAATAACCACAATCAACTTTCAAGAGAAGGCAAAAAATAAAAATGGCTTGGATAAAGCAAACGTAAGTGATAGGCTGAACCATATCTGAAAACGTTTGTACCTTTCAAAAATTGAAAGCAAAATATGTCTGTGTTGTCGAAGATCGAATTCCAAAAAATGATAATTAAGGTCAACAATTTTTTCTCTAAAATTTTGGAAGGTTGAATTAATGAGGTATGACTGAATCATCGTGGGTCACTAGCCCTCTGTTTTGAATCCAAGACTGCAATCCTCGTGTAAAGTACATTTAGACATGCAGAAATCCTTCCTTTCGTTGAAAGGGGCTTTCCTATAACATATCACATCATAGCTTTATTGGTCACAGATCACATCAGAACCTTAAACATGTTGGTACAAACTTGAGGTGCGACCATGCTAGCTACAGGAGGATGGGAGAAACACTTCCTACTTAGGGAGGATGGGGGGAAAAAATTCTTACTTAGGGAGGATGGGAGGAAACAATTGCTACTTAGGGAGGATGCGGGAAAACAATTGCCACTCAGGGAGGATGGGGGGAAACAATTGCTACTTAGGGAGGATGCGGGAAAACAATTCCCACTCAGGGAGGATGGGGGGAAACAATTCCTACTTAGGATAATGATAACGGACTTCAAAGAAGTTGAAACCGTCCACCAGAAGTTGTTTATAAGAAAATCAAACAGAGGGAAATTGACACAATATGCATACCACTTTAGCATCTTTAAAATATTTTGAATAATTTAAGAGTATTGTTGCGGAAATTCTAGAAATTATTGCTTTAGCAGGTGCTACAGGTCATCATGATAAGGCGAAGCTTTGTAGCAAAACCTATGGAATTAATAGAAGTTTGTCTATGTATATTTAAGGTTAAGCCCAAGCTTGTGATCTGACAATTGAAAAGCGCATGCTTGTAGCGTGTAGACCTCATCTGGGGCCTATCCCGTGTGAAATCAAATGGTTCTGGATTGGGGGCACAGAATCGGGGGGAACAGAATCGGGGGTACAGAATCGAAGCAGCGTGTAAACGCATGGAACCAGATCCGAAAATATGCAGATAGCCAATCTAAAAAGGGCAATGACGAAAATACTAAAACCAATGAGATTTTTGAATAAAATATTCCAGTTAAAATTTATCCATTAAATACAAAATTATTCAGAATATACGGGATATTACCAACACCTTGAACTAGAGGCGGACGTTTCCAGAACGTTTCCAGTGGCGAAAATCGTGGGGACCTGCAGACGCTTGAGCCCACAGTCGCGATCTTGAAGGAAATTTAAATTTTTAAGTTTCTGATATCCTGTTTGACTTATTTTCCAAAAATCGTAGGCCTGAGTCCCTAAAATAAAAACATAGATGGCCCATTTCCACCACTGATGGCCCAATGGATTATCGGCTCAAGTCTTCTGATAAAACTCCTAGTGGCTGGTATCTGAAATAAACACACACCGCAAAACACGTATTTTGAACAATTCTAATGACTGTGTAAAGAAAGTATGTTTTCCATGTAGTGAATGACACGTGAATGAACAGCCGTGTATAGAAGCAACGGCTACAAACTAAAATGGCTACCAAAAAATAACACTTAGATGATTTCTAGGCCTACTGGACAAATTTAAATTTCCACAGTAAAAACGTTAAAGCGATGCAAACCAATCACTTGCTTGAAATTTCTCTCGGATGTCTACCTCTTTAAGGGCACCGACTTCGTTTGCTATTTCTGATAAAAAACTAGCTCTAGCATATTTGTTCTTGGGACTGGGAGCCAATCAGGGGAGGGTGAAAACCCTACTCTTTGACCCAAAAATGACCAGGGCACTTTCTGAATTTTCTATTTTTTGGAGTCTTCCTCTTAATGGATGTTTCAAAGAACGGGGCGTTAAAACAAATAGACAATTACTAGAAGTGAATAAGTGTCTGCAACAAATTTCACGTTTTACCCCAGGATCCGACCTGACTGTTGACAGCCCTGCTCGGGCTTTTAGTTACATTTGATACAGCACAAAGCTTTGAATTGAATGAAATTTAAGCGTTTCTAACTAACGGAGTTGGTCTAAAAAACATACACATGCGTAATTACCAACAAATACACTGTTATCAAAATATTTCTATGTTTCCCCCTTTATTACATACCAATAATTACATAGACTATTATAAAAGCACCCAAATACAAATTTAGACGGGTGTCGTGGTTTTCAACCAGCTCATAACTCACCCTAGAAGATACGCCAGTACATTAAAATGGACAGACTTTGTTTGCTTAGCGAGCCTGCTCAAAGTGTTCCGAGAGTATTTGTAATTATGATTAATATATTTAATAAACAGAAAAATATAGTACTTTAATTTTTACTTCAATATTGCTTCTTCGACAAACTGTTATTGTAAAATTGGTGTATTTTCATCGGTACATACCACCAGGGAACTCTTTCAACAAAATTGACTCAACTTTCCTAAAATCATCTGCATTTTCTACAGTTTGTGGGATCTGTAAATTTAGATAAAATAGATTTAATAAATTTAACCAGAAAATTGAAATGGTAACGAAATTTAGTTCCTAGAAAAGCTTACATCACGTTTAACAGGAGATTGGGCTTGGCAACTCCATTTTTCCTATGAGTCGCTTTCCACTGACAACATATACACAACATTCTCACCAGTCAATTGAACCAAATTTCCACAAGGTACCATTCGGTGCACATTTGGATAGAAATTTCTGCATACCTTCAATTTCATTATCAGATGTTACCACGTAAGTATGCTTTGTATCCAAAAGCTATTTGGATAAGCCAATTTGCTAGAAATATGCCAAAGGACATTGGCTGGGTAGGTCCATATTTTGAAAATAAAAATTAATCTCCGATAATGAACTTTATGCAATGCAAATTTTAAATGGTCCTACCTAGACAAATTTTTTCTGGCAGTCTTTTACATAAAATCTTCGGCTTCTTTTTCATAAGGTAATAGGCAAGTAAAACCAAAACGACGACGAGAATATTATTTGTTGTAAAATAGAATTTTGAAATAAATTAAATATGAAACTATTATTTCGCCCCGGCATATAGGATAAATGTCATTGTAAATCAGAGTAAATGTCATTTACTCTTTCTCGTTTCCTTTCTCTTTCCTTTTCATTGCCCAGTCTATGGAGATAATACTTGGGTAGCTGCAAACATTTAGGGTTCCCCTTGAAAGGTGCTTTTAAAGGAAATTAGTTGTTGCAATGTTTAATGAGAGAGTATACATACAGTGTATAATTCTCGGTTGATCATCTTCCTTAGCGTTGAACGAACAAATTTCTGTGAACGAGTCTGCAGATAAAGGAAATATGTCTTATACAACAGAATAAAAGTCTCTTCAGTTACTGCATTTTTTCTCGATTCCAAAGAATTTGGAATCAAAGAAATGCTTCCCGGACAAACTGGGTGAGACCACCCCCCCTCCCACACCCACCCCCCCCCCTTTTCCCAAGCATCAATTTCGGATAAGTAGCTCTATTACTTGTGATCCAGCAACATGAATCGAGGTAGGGGGAAAGGTTATTTTCAAAGAGAGGATAAACTAGAGAATATGAACAGCTTCAACTACTTTTTCCGGGATTGTAGGATAGGGCAAGATTCAAAAAAGCGTTGAAGTAATTTATGACGTGAAAAAGGATGGTAGTAAAGTTTGAAGTAGCTTTACCTTTGGGAGTGTTGGTAAAATGACGGCTCTTTTAAAGGATGACACTTGTCCAACTTCCTTTCGTACAAGTTCGATTACCTCCCTAAAAATTTCATCTTCGTGTCTATCAACATCTGCAAAGAACAGTTGCTTTCCTTACAAAGAATTGAATGTTTACAAATAGTTCTTTACCAGACGGATTAGTCCTAATGCTACAGAAAATCAGAAAACAAAAGGAAATGATGTGTATGTTGCGAAATAAAGACAGACATCTGATCTCAAAGATTTACAATTTTGAAAGTTTCTAAACTTTCTGATCCAAAGATGAAAGTTGTTGACTATCAACATCAAAAGATACAATAAAATCATTAAACATTAAAAATGTCAATGAAAAAAAACAAGAACAGCATTGCGAACCTTCTTTTAAAACGATTAACCCAATTGGTATCTCCCCTTTGATTTCATCTCTGACGCCAATCACTGCTTGTTCAATAACATCAGGGTGCTGCGCTATGGCCTAAAAACGAGTGAAACAGAAAATAACGATAACCCGTATCTTAAAACACAGAAAAAATTGAAATCTCATTAAACAAAATCAATTAAAGGACGCAATTAGATCTTTGACAATGAGCAAAAATATAAGTAACTGTACCAAAACTGTTTATTACCATTTTGGTTCAGATAGCAAGACACTTCAACATTCGACACTTTTCAGAAAACTTCCGATAACGAGCAGCAAAAATGAACCTACAAATTCAGGAGCCTGCTGGTTGTCTTTCTTTGATTTTATCTAGGTTTAAGAAACTAGTACAACCATAAAAATCATGAGGTTTTTATTTTGCATTGGACCCTGTGCCAACAGTGGTCCTGAGGAGACACCCCTTCTTCAAGGCATCGCCAACTTAATTCATCTCTTCAAATCAGAGAGGCAAAAATCATGCAAACCAAAGCTGGAAGGTTTTGGCATCAAAATGAGGAATGTTTTGTTGACAAAAACAATATGCTATTTTTGTTCATTGTTATTTAAATTCTTGAAAACAAATCACCAAAAATACTTAGAACTATTAAAAATCTTGCCAAAGGCATGACACATGAACACTGACGTAATGTAAGAATCTTTGACCTTGTAATTCCTATAGTAATTGTCTAATTGCATAATCGATTGTATAAACCATGTTCTGATACTTCTAAACATTACTTTCTTACCAGTTCCATTTGTTTGGTGGACAGTCGGTGCCCAGCAACTTGGATGATGTCATCAACCCTACCATGAACCGTTATGTATCCATTCTCATCCACTACCCCTGCATCGAATGAATCGTAATACCCCTGCCATGATAAAAACCAAATAAGTAAGTTATTAAGGACAACTCAGTGTCAACTTGTTTTGTATTTGGTACTGTAAGGGAGTTTTAGGACAAAGAGACGCTATTATTATCGAAACATGTGCGGGACCTTCCCCTCGATGAGACCCCACCTTGTGATTCCTTAAGTTACAGGAAGCTATAGATCCCCTAGAATTCAGTGAAATTTCCCTCATGTCAACCGCAGACCCGCGCAGCCCGCGGCCAGTGTTCAGATTATACGAGCTTTTGCTTGGAACTTAAGTTTCACATATGACTGTGAAGTTACGCTCTTCCTTTTCCGCACAGTAAAGCTATATGAAGCGCAATCCCGGCTTAACGGGATCCCCGCTTCACTGGGAAAATGCAGGGGAAACCTTCTCCGTATAAACAGGCTCTTAGTTGTACCGATAAAAACAAACTAGAGGTATAAGAAACGATAGTAATGAAGAGATCATTGCTTACGTCAATAGTAGAATGATAAGCACTGACAAATCGATCATCATCCATCCATAATGTTGTCAATGCACCAGGAGGAAGCGGGAGTCTGGGGAGAGAAAAGTACGTACATGGGTTCAAAGATTGACGAGAAAACACAAAAGGGAAATGGCAAAAGGTTATGATCAACAGAAACGATGCTACAGAATTCTCTAAGACATTGTCACGACAAACTTCAATGCTTCGTTTATGGATGATGCCTTATGGACGACCTTATTAATTTTATGGCATGAGAAAAATAAATAAGATAAAAATAAAACAAAAGAAAAATAAAGATAACAAATTTTTAACTAGCTGTGCATCATCTAGTTTAAAAGCAAAAACAATTTGATCTGTGTTTGAGAACTTAGTATTCAAAAGTAGAGTAGGAAGCATCCAACCCCACAGGAATGCAAATATCATAACGCTTAAAATCCTGATTCAATCCCAACGACATAAGGGTTGCAGCATAATTACAAGAAGTATAGCTGACATCTACGATTACGAGGGATCTTTTCAAAACTTCTCAAGAACCAAAAGGGCACGATTAAAGTATAGAAGAATGGCAATAAAACAATCGAGAATAAGTAAAAAAAATGCTAACTTATACAAAATGTAATCTCATACTTTACTGCGATCGTTCCCATCTCTCCAACTTTGCATTCCTCTCTTTTTTTATTCAAAACTTTAACTGAAATAAAATTGTTTACTGTTAATCTGAATCAGCTATTCATCTTTGATAAAGTCAACTAAAAAACTGTCTACTTAGGAAAGAGTAAGAAAAATTGAACTAATTTCTTTGGATTTTCAAAGAAATGACCTGAAATCGTTGATTAATGAGATCGACCAATTGATCGTATCGGGAACTTATATTCAAGAAAAATTTCTCAAGCTTAAGAAAAGGGTGAGAAGGGCTCTCAAAACAGAAGATCTAAAGAAGTGTGGTCTCATTTTGAACAGGACGGGAAGAATTTACAGCGTTTCTGGTTTTTAGAGTCAGTGGGAAAGTTTATAAATCTTTTGAAAAAATTAGCGAGTTTTTTCAAAAGCAGTATAAAATATTGTTCTGCCTGTAAAACGTCTTGGAACTCCAAAAGCATTTTGGTCATTCACATTAGCAATTTCCTCTTTCGCCTTTCAAACATATGGACTATTCTCTATATCACTACACTATTCAAGTGTAATTTGTATCTTTTTGAACTGGGATGGCTGAGGTACCTTTCCAAAATTTCTTTTAGTGACGATGGAGAAGGCATCTTCGGTTTCTTTTAAGACGTGAATTGAAAATAGATTGAAAATTGACATAGACTTTTTGGTTATTCCAAGCCTATTGGCAAGCTAGTAGAGAAACTAAACTGTAGGCATGTTCCGTAGAAAGATGTTCTAAAACTGACCCTTGTTACATCGTGTATGTGATTATCTAAATGATGCTTCTTACCATTCCAGCCAGGCACGGGCCTTCCACACGTGCCAAATGGATAGTTTTCAGGCATTCCAAGACCAAGAGAGTGGCACGTAATCGGCCATCCAGTCTCTATAAAAATCAAGAGATACATTTTCATAACTCTCCGTAGGAAGCTACAAAATGTTGTTGTTTCGTGAAGACTAGATGTTCAAACAAACAAGGAAGAGTAGAGTACGTTGGAAATATAGGGCCCAGGTTTACAATTTTCTTACGGGCATGGTAAAATGGGATTAGGGTACCGGAGACTCTTCTGGAGCTCAATGTAAAAGGGCCTTCATCCCTTTTTATAAAAACAGAGGCCAAATCCAGTTACAGGCTAAATATCCTTTAGGTGCCTGGCATCTAAGTAAATATTGAAAACAAGCTCCATTATAACAAATTCATCTATTCTTTCGTCATTAAAGGGTACAAACATGTATTCAGGATAAAATCAAGTGGAACAAAACTACAAACCAAACTACATATTCTCCTTGTTAATTCAAAGTACTGACTGAAAATTTGGAAAATTTTCAACGGCACTTTACTGTCTCCTTTTTCTCTCCCCCGCCCCCTTATAATAACATTTTGTATTTAAGAAAACCTTAGCGCTGAAAAAACTAAAAGAGTTAATAAACATATTGCTAATATAACTTCTGTGTCTACATATGCAGAGTCTACCTCGTGTAACTCAGGTTCGAACATGTGAAGACATCTCGTTTATTCTGAACATAACACTCATTACCAAGACCAACATAACTCGTGAACTAATTAACTAAAAATCAACTAACGCAATACATAAAGCACATTAACAGCAAACGATTATAAAGCATTTAATGATTTAAAACATAGCGTTGGATTACAGTTCTCAATCTTGAAAATTGTCAGACTAGTTTGTAGTGTCACGACACTATCTTGCTTGTTCTCTTATCGTTTATTAAAGGAAGTTCAGCGACAGAACCCTACACCAACCCCGAAGTTAGTTTCCTATAAAAATGAGTGTATTATTACATCTTGCAGTCTTTTTTAAATAGGTTTTACAGAACATTATGCTTCAAGAACGGGAGTTTGGCAAAACTCTATACATATAAAGAGCACAAAGTACCTGTTTGCCACCAGTGGTCCAAAACTGGCGCTCTGAATGTGTCTTTGGTCCACTGCAAAGTTTTCAAATCTGCATGCTCCCCAGCGAGAAACATTGCCCGGAACCTTAAACAAGTCGGGACATGTTAGAAAAGTTCTTGAAGCTACACTAATAATTGCAAGCTGGATACGCTTTGTATTTCCCAGCTCGCGTGTAATGCGAATGAAGGTGGGCTATATCTTATGAAAAAAGGTGAACTGAGTTGGAAATCACAGGCAACCACTTGGAATATGCAGAGTTTCTTCACAATAAATCATTAAGCAGAAAAGGTGGATGCTTTTATCAAATCACTAGTCCAGAAATTGTCATTATACGACTAAAGAGGAGTCTTTCAGTTAGCCATTACCGGACCATGCTTTACTTGCACTGTTTTCGAACGTTTTGGAACCTTTCAGCACGTAAGCTAAAGGAAGGATAAATATCTTTTGGACTCTACTGATTAGACAGACAAACGTTTCCCAATGCTCTGATTTTTCCAACTTATTGTTTAAGGCCGGAAACCTTTTGTTCTGTGAAACTATGTAACATACGGCAGCCAGGTTCCCTGCAAGAATATGCAGCTACGAAGGTGCAATGTATCAGGCCAAGAATAGTTATCCGTCCCTTCACAGGCCTAGATTTGCAGCTTGCTAAATATGTTTTAAAAAATAAGAAACAATGAAACATACTTTGACATCTTGTAGTCTTTGGCATAATGTCCTTTTGGATCCTAGAAAGAACAAAGACAATACAAAAAGAGGAATTAAAACGTGCAACAAATCCATTGAAAGGTGTTTTGTGGCGGAAAGGAGACTTGTACGCATCTCGTGTATATATCAAAGGATTTTGTGTCATTAGGTCCATAGAAGGAGAACGACATGTTTGAGAAAAGCAATAATTTTTAGTATACTACTAAAGCTTTTCGTCTGACACTCTTCAGAGTATAAAAGGTCAGAACATTGATCGAAAGTATATATACCCAGTTGTGGATAGGAAGTATATATACCCAGCCATTTTCAAATATTGTACCCCAAAAAAATTGAATCAGCTAAGGTTTTTCTCAACCATTAAAACATAGAAATTTCTTTCTAGTTCGTAGCACGATTTTCAGACATGCAAATTACCACTGATAAAGCCAATGTAGACTAAGACGATAGGTTCGAATTAAAGGGTGTATTTTGACAAAGGCACTAAACGAAAATCCGCAGGTACTCGTGGGAATTCAATTCTCGGGACCGATTGACTATAGATAAGTCACAGCTGTGGATGTACCGAGAAGGTTTCACATATCAATAAATATTTTGACAGTGACGGTATTAATCACAAAGTTCTGCTTTTTTTCGAAAAATGCAACAGCTATTATCAAATTTAAAAGACTTGGAAAAAAGGCCAATTACGCAGTTTTAAAATAAATCTAGTCAATAAAAAACGCATTTTTTATTAGCTATCAAACTAAGGAATGTTAGCTTGAAATATCTAGAACAAAATAACAAACAAGCCAACAGGAAAAAGCAAAAAATTCAGATTCGACAAAAAGGCTTGCGTTTTGGCCTGACATTGCTTATATTTCCCAGCGTAGAGTTTTCGTTCTATGTTCTGACGTTTTAAACTCTGAAGAGTGTCAGACGAAAAGCTTTAGTTTACTCAAATGTTTGTTTTTTTAAAGCCATTTTCTTGATATGTTACTTGAAATCATAAAAAAGTTTTTCGTGATACTGATAATGAAAATATTAAAAATTGCATGAAGGGCACACAGAATCGTGTGACCATAAGACTGAAGTAAAAATGGACTTAAAATGGTGTTAATATATGGATGTTATATGACAAAACTGTGAGATTTTGAAGTTCTGGTTCAAATTCAAGTTTTGAAAAATTCCAAACACCAAAAGAGGAAAGGAAAAACTTTGTACCTCATTTCGTATAATTCTCATCGCAGTGGGGGCCGTAAATAAACTGACAACATCATGATCATCAATCACTCTGAAAAATGTACTCCCATCTGGGCTGTTGATCGGCTTTCCCTAAAATGGAGAAAAGCAATACAATATTTTCCTTTACTAATTTACGTGTATTTATTGTTGTTCATTCTCGTCGTATTGCGGTGTTTCTTATTTTCTACATTTTCATCGTTTGTCGCTACAAGAATTCCTTCGAGCTTCAAATCTTTGATTGGTTAATACAGCAGACACACCCCCGAGTTCTGACCAATTAGATAACAAGAAACTGTAAACAAACGCCAACGAAGGTCACTTTTATTCATTTTAGCGCTACCCACTAAAATTGCCCGGTGTGAAATCTTTTACGAAAATTTTAAGATAAATGTTTGCAGCGAATAGAGTAGAAATAACGTCGTCATCTTTAGGATGCTCTTACTTCAAGAGTATTTAGAATATAAAGAAAGTTCGCGACAAAAATTTGCTCCTACGTTTTGTGAGCACGATTCAATTAAAATTGAATGAATACCTCAAACATCACAGATGTACAGCCATAGAGCAATGGTCCGTAAATTATGTAAGAGTGTCCAACAACCCATCCAATGTCTGAAGCTGTCCACCATGTCTGAATGAATTTATGAAAAAGCGGAACAAAGTTAAGTTAACATGAACAAAAGAGAATATCGCCAATTCAAACGAGAACCAGCCCATTCTATTTTTGTTCTCTAAAAACATCTGGATTCGAGATGACAATATCAATATAAACTAGCTATATTCATGGTTTATCCCATTCTCTTGTTCTGTGCAACTCTGTAACATACGGCAGCCAGGTTCCCTGCAAGAATATGCAGCTACGAAGGAGCAATGTATCAGGCCAAGGAAAGGTACCCGTCCCTTCACAGGCCTAGATTCTCACTACATCAGATACTTTAATAAAAAAGCCTGTTTTGCAGATTTTTTCATATCTTACTGAAGATGGGTTCCATAAATCTTACTCAAACCCAGCTATTTAACTTAACATGAAATCGGGGCTATACTAAGAAAGTGGCATTGACTAATCTTTAAATGACGCTAATATACTGTATTTGTAGGTTACTTTCTGAGCTAAACAGAAATAGTTAAAAAAACAAAGCACGTGTATTAATAACCTTGGAGAAACAAAGCATGATGTCCATATATTTATCCGACAATAAATTCATACGGGGCACCTTCATGGGGAGGGGGTGAAATGCTTCCCTTTCTTATGCCTTTGTCTGTACAGCTAGCCTATCTGTCGATAAAGTACGCTATCGAAAAACGTCCGTATCAATTCATTGAATTCTAAAACTGACATGCTTTAAAATATCTGCAACAAGATCTAGCTGCCACTCACCTCATCACGATCAATTCCAAAAATATTTTTCATGGACCATTTCAAAACAACAGCATGACCGCCATTGCTTCTTTGGATACCCTTGGCAAATCATTCAAGAAAGACTTAAACAACAGTCAACAATACTAAATTAAATCCAAATGACATAGCGTTATGATTATAATACGAGAAAATGATAATGAAGTTACGACGAGAGGTTAAAGGTTTCTATGTTTACGAGAGGTTACGACGCATTTCGCTGGCCATTTCCCATTGGTTGGACTACACAATAGACCAATTGTTACGTATCCAATCGGCTAATTCTCGATGTATTCTTAATTATAAACACGCTGCAAACCTACTGTTAAAGGCATTGAGTCATGGTAAATAGGCCTTCTCATTTGGTTTCGGCGTGATCGCTGCCGTTTCATGTGATATTTGTTGTTGACAATTTGCTATTGGTAGAAACTGTTTTGTTAATCAGTATGAGGTGAGTTCATGTGACCAGGTCCAGGTCAACCAATAGAATCGCAGTCATGAAAATCATGACTCAGCGGATTTTGGCACTTAGGGTATACCCAATCCATTTTATCATGACTCAATGCCTTTAACTCTGAGTGGTTGCCTTGAATCCTGCAATAGTTTAACCTCATCTGCCATGGACGAACTAATATGTATTATCTAAAGCTATAACATTACATGAAGGATAGACCCTGTTAACAACAAAATACTTTTAAAATACTTGATGATACAACTTAGAGAAAATGATTGTAAAAGGATTGAAACACACGATACCCAGGTTCCACAGTAAGTGACTTTTCTCCCCTTGAACTAAAACTTGCTAATTGAAAAGTGAATATATGACGATTTACTGTGCGGATTAGCAGAGTGAAGAGGAGACATTGGTAAACATGTGTAACGTTTATATGTGCCCTCTTTAGACGTTAATTTGAAGTAAGCTACATGAACCGTTTCACTGCATATAATAACTTTGTCTTTGATGGAGACGACTAGGAACCTATTGCGTTAAAAGATTTTTATAAAGGAGTCGCAAAAGAAACCTTTTGTTCTTACCTTAGGGCTGCCCGTAGTACCTGATGTATACAACACGTAGAGAGGATCCTGGGATGACACCGGAACGCAATCATGCGGACTCTTAACACTAGACATTGCATCATGCCAGTCTAGATCTCTACCTGGCTTCAGCTCGAAACTTTGCTGCAAAAAGAGAGAATAGTGTCAAATAAACAAGCTTAAGCCGTGTGAGGTGTAAGAGCAGAAAAAGATAACATTAAATATTATTTTCTCCCTTCCAAATACATGGAATCAGGGTTTTATCTACCACATACAAATTTTGATATAAAGGCATTGCCATAAAATATAAGCACAACAATGTTGTGTGTACAAACATTGATACTGCCCAGCAACGAAAATATGGAACACAAAGGAAGTAGAATAAACCCAACAAATGTAAATTTATTATACACCTACCTGGGGTCGGTTCAGAACGATAACCCTTTCAGGGGGACAAGAAACCATCTCCAATGCTTGCTCAACCAATGGGCCGTACGGCAACAGACGGTGCGGTTCAATACCACATGACGCAGTGACTACAACTTTAGGCTACAATAAGAGCACAAAAAAGAAATAAGAGACAACAGCCAGTTACTGGAGATTACACCTGAAACCCCTCTTGACCAGGATACTTTAAGAGAGGACCTTGAGTACTTGCTATTACTTGCTCAACCAATGGACCTTGAGTAGGATACTGTGATCAGGGACAATTCTTCAAATATTGGGGGGCAAGCCTATTGTTTTAATAAATTGAAGTCACATTTCCTATTGTTTTAGAACAAAAGATCATTGTCCTCTAAAGTATTGGGGGATGGGCAGTTGCTGACTGTCCCCAATGTGTCTGCCACTGACCGTGATGATCGTATTGCCCCCAGGATAAGCCCCCTCTCAAGTAAGCATATACCCTCAAAGTGAAAACTGTTAATAATCCCTCACCCTAACAAGCCAATTTCTGCCTTCGTAAAGCCCCCATGGAAGTTAATAGAATACAACAGAACAACGTCATTGATAACAAACCCATTCAGCTGAAGCACTTAAATAAAGCGCAAAAACATCGCCGTAAACATTGCACATACTAATATTTCAAAAAACTTTTTAGCCCCACCAAAAACGTAATTTATTCTGCAGTCTTTGCGTTAAGGTATAAATTAGTCTGGTCTCTTGACAAAAATTAAATACTCACCATGGCATCATCTATTCTCCTCGCTAGTTCATTTGGAGCAAATCCACCAAAAACCACAGAGTGCACAGCACCAATTCTTGCACAACCGTACATTGCAATGGTAGCCTGTTTCACGACAAAAGACAACAATGGATCACTATAAAAACATCTAAAAGATTTCAACTACAACACGAATCATATCATGGATGGATGCAGAACATAGAAAAGCATGACTATGGAGAGGGGAGTAAGGGGGCCCCTAAGGGAGACAGATAAATTAAAATACTGTCCTATATCAATCTGAACTTGAATCTGAATACAATAGATCAATCTGTACAATTTTGCTATTGTTGGTATGTTTGCTAGTAATTTAGAAACACAAGCAAAATTTTACATTCTTATCATTGAAGATGCTTTTTGTGACTCTAAATCTGCCTTCATTTGCTACTTTACCAGCATTAAATCAATGTCTCTCTATGTTGGCTTAATTTTAGAGACTCTCTATGTTGTCTCTCTATGTTGGCGTAAAAAACCAAACAAAGGTACAGAAAAACCAGGCCCAGAACAGATTTGAAAAACTTATTAAGTTATAACAATGTTATTCAATGCCATTAATGAGTCTGATTAAGTGGGGATAAATGACCAGCAACAAAACAGGCCAGCAAAAAAAGCCATCAACTTCAGTAAAAAAGTAAATAGCATATTATTTCTATTTCTCACCTCTGGGACCATGGGCATGTATATAATGACCCTGTCACCTTTCTTGACACCACAATCAGCAAGCACTCTTGCAAACTTAGCAGCCTTGAAAAATAATGTACTACAACCATTATGTACAATTAGGTCAAACAAATAATGTACAACTTTTTGTTTCACTCTACCCAATATAGGTCCAGGAAATAGAATTAGCACTTGTATTCAAGTATAGGTGCATGTAAATATGGAGTCTTGAGTAATGTCACACCCATAAATCTTTGAAATTCAAAGCAAAAACGTATAAGACAAGGAACTGTTTGAGGCTTCAACCCTCTTAGAATTGAATAACTCATCAAAATTCACAACATATAAGCATTAAGGTGAAAATGCATCATACACTAGCAAGAGTTTTCAAAATATTACACGTAATAGAGATAGGTAATCAAGTGTGCACTTATGTATATAACTGGACAGTTCAGAGTTGCACCTCAAACGTGAACACTTAATGAAATCATCAGGCAACTTTTAAACTACTCTCCCTGAAGATGTTATTACATTAATTTAGTTGCCATGTCCCTGGCGGTATCTGGAATGCAAAAAATAGCATTCTCATACCTCATCCCTGAGTTCTTTATAAGTATACTTCTTGACATTTCCAGAGACAGGGCTGTCCCATATCAATGCAATTTTGTCACCTCTCCCTTGATCAACGTGAAAATCTAAAGCATTGTAGCAAGTGTTTAGCTCACCTCCAACAAACCTAGAATTGACAATTGATTAGAAACATGAATTGTTAAAAAGGGAGCAGCAGTAGAAAAAAGGAAATGTGTGTTCTTGTTCCCTCTCCCAAGTCTCATAAGGATCCATGTCTTCAGAAGGCAGCATTTTTTATTAATATTTATTTTCTTTTGGTGAAACTTAAACCATTTCATTGTCTTAACTGACTTCAAAATTGTGAGTAAGTCTCCAGGAAACCCATTGGTTCAATTCTGTTGTTCAATTACATTCACCGTATGTGACACTTCAATGTCAGATTCTAACATTGCCTGTCACAACATGATACAATGTTTTGTTTATACCAGTCAAATAATGTCCAGTCCTCTTCTAACTCAACATTCGCTGATGTATCTAAGAAATGTCTGGCTTTAACTTTCTCTATCGCTTCTTCCTACTCTCCCAATTACCATTTGGTATTCTATGCCATCTTTCCTGAGCATGTGTCCTAAGAAAGTAAGTGTCTCTGCAGTTTTTGTTTCATTATTGTCTTTCTGTCTGGTCTCTTCTCGATACATCTTTATTTGTCATTATCTTTATCCAGGAGATCTTCATCACCCTCAGTTAATTACACTACATTCCCAGCTGGCCATGAAATAGTAATAATAATAATAATAATAATAATCGAATGTTTTAACAGGATAACCTATCAGTACAATATATACTGTTATCATTAGGGTCCTGATACTTAATAAATTAATGGTAAAAGATCTAAAAACTGATAACAAGAGTTCAATACAGTCCAATCTAAAGATAAAATAATTTTACATCAAATAAAATGAGTTCCTAAAAATCGTCTAAAAATAGTTCTGTAAAAGCTTTCATGTTTTAACTATCACAAATTTTTCCCTCTTTTTTCTCTGTCCCTTTTGAGTGACCCTAGCCCTTACTATATGTGACTACCAGGAGTTGGAAGGTCTTACACTATACTTAGGGCACAAAAGTATGGAAATAATATGGTAGTTAAAAATGGTGGCTAACAGTGGGGGCCCACTGATTCTTTTTTGCAAGACCACTTTTCAAATTGTCAAGACCACTATTAGTGGCCATTCCACACTAAATTAGGCACTGGTTTGAGCAATGACTTTCCTAGAAATGCCCATACCTCATTAATTTCAGGGGTGCATTGCTGGGGGGCTCAGGGGGCAGAGGCCCCCTTGTTGATGCCGAAACTTGGCAAATTTCTACTTTTGCTCTTGTTTTTCGCAACGTTTTGTGCAAGGACTTTCTCGTTATTTTGATAGCACTACACCACTGATTAGGATTGTAATCTTAATTGTTCAAGATTAATATAATTTAATTATTGATGTATTAAATTATTTCCCAATATTGTTTAAATGTTTAAACATACCATTTTGTGAATGGTGAGTTACTGTCGTCAATCACCTTGTTAAATGGTGTGAACCACGTTATGTCTTGTGCTACCTCGGCCCAAAACTCATCTGGATTTTCGATCGACCTTTTGTACACCTCTTCGTATTGACTCTGAACAACTTCGCAAGTTGCGAGCTGCTTGCAACAAGGGTCCAGGAGGAGCCTAGGCCCATGTGGTCTGCATCCAATCGAGCCTTGCACAAATCTGGCTGTAAGAGTCTTTGAAAGACGCCGAAGGAGAAATGAACTCATTTTTTAGTAAATGTCAAAAGTTCAATGTTTCTTAAAGGATTTCAAAGAAACTCAATCAAAAACGTGAACTGACATCCGATACAAGACAGCTAAGTAAGCCTCATCTCCTACGCGCTTGAATTGATCAAAACAAAGGCAACTGCTAAATGACGTGCCATGGGACACAAACTACTTCCAACGTAAGAATATCCTTCCTTTCGATACAGGGACGTAGCGTGCGGGGTGTGTGTGGTGTACATCCCCTACCTTTCAGAGAACTCGTCGGTAGAATTAAATTTATAACAAAATACTAATGTAAAAAAATAATTTCTGTCGGTAAAATATGGTTTTGCGTCTCTTACACTACCCCCCCCCCCCCCCCCAGTGAGAATGGTCACGCAACACCACTGCTTCGATATGCATTATTGAATATGTAATAACATAGTAATAATATCAAAGAAAGCTGCTTTTAATGAGGACTGGTTTGCAGGTGCTTTGATCGTCTCAATTTTTTCTAAATTTGCAACTGTAATTATTTTTACTTCATGGAATTTGCAAAAAAAAAAACCTGACCCCCCCCCTCCCCCTTTGAAAAGGGGATATTGGAAACATTCCTAACAAATGTCGTATGTCTATCTTTGATAATCATTTCTTTTCTTTCATAGCCCTGGAAGGTCACTGGGGCTGGAGGTGAAATTGTCCCCTGGTTAGTATGGTAAAAAAGGCCCTGTTTTGTTTACTCTAAAACTCTAAAACTTTGGAGAATGTTGCTTCCAGGTACATAATTTCAACGCATTACACACCGACCTTAAGCCTTACTTGGTGGGCTTTGACACATTGTGATATTTTGGAGTACTTGCCCACCCCACTGCTAAACATTGTGAGCCTTTACAAGTAGCTAATTTTCCCTAGAAAGGTTGCTATGATACACTCATTTTTATTAGAAAGAAGTATTGGAAAGTTTGGAAAATTATGAAATTTCAATACTCGAAGCAAAAAAATTGAAATCAGAAATTTCTCATAAGCAACAACCCCTTAGCACATGCTTCTAAACTTTTGAAAATACCTGTTTTCTAAGAAGCGTTTCTACAGAAAGCTTAGTACTTTATTTTCTAAGACATTGCCTGTTCATATTTGGCCCCCGTGAAAAATATTCGGTTAAAATTCACAATCTTTAATTGACCGCAGGCATGATGTTTTAAGGGAAAATACACACTTTTGCTGAGTGGACCTTAACCTTTGCTGACGCTAAACATTCATAACAATCTACGATTATGTGCTTAAAAATATTCTTAAATAATTCTTAAAAAGAAATTTAAAATTTTTGTCTCAGTAACTTGCTAGCATTGTATAAGCTTGATAAAAATGTCCCACAAACATCTACAATGCCTGCTTAAAGTATATGGAACACCAAGCAATTTGCATTGCATTCTATATCTTCCATTCCTTTTCCGAAAAAAAAAATTACTTCTTCCATCCCCTTCCCCCTTGAACAATGTTGATAATTCAGAGAAACATCTTAAAAGGAGCGCAAAAGAAAGTGCTTCCTAAAACCCAAACCCTTTCATAGTAACCAGCATTGTTCCGTGAGGGAGAGGGGAATGATTGATTTTGACCTTGGAAACTGACGTCAGTGTTCCAAGACTTTTGCCAGGCATGGTAGCTTGAAAGCCACGCTGTTTTTTTGCTCAAAAAACTCAATGGTCTATTACAATCAGAAACTTTAATGGTCTATTACATTTTTCTGGCCATTGTTCGTGAATAATTCTTGAATTTCACCAATTTCGAGTATCAATTGTCATCCGATGAACTCTTCTACGATCTCTGGTTCTGTATGAAATCATGAAAGCCTTTAACGCATGCCTTGAATAAGTATCTACCAATATTCAGGGATACAGCAATTTCATAAAGGGTTTCAAAAACTATAGGCTTCTACGATGCTTCTCAGATTTTTGATACCTAAGGTGAGGTCAGTCACCCTGCAAACTTATATACCATGATACTACCCAGGCCCTTCGGGAGCGGGGCTGAAGCTTCAACCCCAATTCCCAAATATTTGCCTAAATATCATAGTGTTTTATTAAAAACTGCTGAAGCCCTCTCCCTCTAATACCAAATTGACTCTACTTTCTACCATAAAGAGTCCAGATCTCTGCATGGTCCACTCTATTTCATGTTTCTATAAACTTTGGTTTCGATGATACGAATTATCCACTCTATTCCATGTTTCTATAAACTTTGGTTTCAATGATAATAATAAGAATTATCATAGCGAGCATTCACAAGTACATAGAGTTAAAGTCACTTAGTTCTTAATTGTCCCTCTTTTGCAGACTCCACTCTGGCCTGTCACCTTGTCAGAATCTTCTCCATAATAGGCAGACAGTATCATGTAGATGATGATGATGATGGAAAGTAATAATGCAATGTAATAATGTCAACGTCATGTAATAATGTCAATGACAAGGATTCTGATTTCGATAAGGAATATCGAGATCAAAATGATTATGATGATGACACTGTGCTACGATTGTTGCAAGTTCTTAAAACTTTTTTACCAAAAACATGCATTAAAATTAGGTATTGTTCTAGGAATTTCGAAGCATGTCGAATTTTCGAATAACAAGAACAGCGCAAGTCAAATATGGCGGATTCGCGGTCTCCATGACAATTCGATCTGACTTGTTTTGATTTTGGTCTGATCGAGATCACGAGGAGGGGAAAGATCTCGTTTTTTGCATGTGGTATACTGTTCTTGAAATAATTTGGTATTTTGCACTGGTGGCGGGATTTCATTTGACTAGGACCATGCAATTTCGGAAATTATAATATGAATTACAGACCTCAGCTCGATGAATTATATAAAGCAATCAGGTTGATTTTCATGAACACAGATGAATCTTCCGTAGAAGAAGATTGAACTGGAATATCAACAACAAAGTAAGAGAACTCAGGGGTTACAAGTCGGCTGTTTCTGCCTATCAAGAAGCTGGTTTCTAATTTGTATGCAGAAGAGAGCTCAAGACTTTACATTCAAATTCTTTCTGCCGCCGTTAAAGGAAAACTTTCTTGATCGCGAGAAGAGAATTATACAAAGAAGAGAATTAAACAAAATGAGCAATCCACTTGCCGCTGTCGATATCTGAAGGAATGTCATTCGAAGAAATTAAGCTACAAATCAGAGAAGTGCAAGCCTCATCAAAATCTCATATTACGACTTGGTTCTCCTTGATTATTTTCGTTGCAGATCTTTCGATTACAGAAAGGACTTTCTAGACAATAAAGGAGGAAAAGAAGCTTTTTATTTAGTTATCGTAGATTGTTTAAGCTGAGACAGATAAGGCTTATCCCCGCTGAACACTTAAGACATTGGAGGAATTCAACCAATTTTGAAAAGTTTCTTGTGAAACTTTGAAATACTCTACACCAAAAAGATCTTTTGCTAAATAAGAAATAAACTTTTAGATGCATCAAAACAGTTTTACAAATCAGGTATGGCTTCGCCTGAGTACAGAAGGTGGGCTTCGGCATCGCGTTACTGACCTGAACGAAGGCGATCTGCCACCTAAGTCACCTGAATTTTATGAGATGTTACCATCATTAAGGTCATCGCCTATTTCCTTACTACAAGCAAGGCAGGAAGACAACTCGGATTCATTTCATGTTGTCCCTTCAGTTACGAACAAAAACACAGAGCCACTTAGTGTAACGGATACATACGAAACATTTTTACGAAATTTAGAATACAGTGATAATCAAGATTATGGTAATGATTTTCTCCATTCACCAGAAGAACTTCACTTGACACACCAAATAGTTGGAGAAGGAGCTTGCCATGATTTGTGTGACGATTTTCAGATATATTTACAAAATGAAACATCCCCAACGCCAGTTGAAAACTTGTACAGTACGCTACCAACACAAGAAGCTGCAAGAACATTTGAATTTCCAAATTTCGATGAAAACCAGAGACTTGAAAATATGGAGGTTTCTCAAACTGGGCAAAAGAAGGTGAGTTATACTAAAAAATCACAAAGCTCGGCAACAAATGATGACTCGTCAAAACATAGTGAATTCCCTTACGATTCTTTAAAAATTAGGCAGCAACAAAGTTCTCGTAAGAGAAAAACTTCAGAAACATATGGAGAAAGATCTAGAAATAAGAAGACAGATATTGAAAGAACAATTTCACGGACTAGTCGACCTTCGCATAATGATATCGAGCGACAGCGGAGAAACGACATGAAAGCAAGATTTGATGCATTGAAAGCCGCGATACCTGACATCGAGCGAATGGATCGTGCCCCGAAAATCCAAATTTTGTCAAAAGCGACTGACTATATAATGAAACTTCACGCAGAAGAAACAACTTTGGATAATGAGAAACAAAAAGAAAGAAAAAGAAATCGTTTGCTGTTAGACAAACTAGTTAAACTAACTCAAGTTGTATGAAAAGTTTTCTTTCAAATTAAGGCACGAGAAACTTATTGAATATGCTGATAATGAAAGGCATAAACAGAGTAATCGCAACTCCTAGACAATTTCAATATTTATACAGATGTTTGGCTTTAAAAAATCAAAGTTTTCTTGATAATTAAGAAGACAAACAAAACTTAGATATATAGTGGTTTCGTCGTGAAAGAAAAACAACTTTCTAGACATGAGTCAATTATATAAGATGTTATATTCCCGTGGATTCAAAACAAAGTATGTAAACAATTAAGCCTTGTTGCCTCTACTTGCAATCTGAAGTCTTTACAAGGTTTGTCTATAGCTTTGTGAAATTTGCCATTAATTTGCGCTCAGTAGCTTTTTGCTAAAAATTTGCTGGCTTCATGACATCAAAGAGAAACTGTAAATACATTATTAGTTTGACTAATTTAGTTTTTGTTGATTTTGCTATTTNCCCCCCCCCCCCCAGTGAGAATGGTCACGCAACACCACTGCTTCGATATGCAATATTGAATATGTAATAACATAGTAATAATATCAAAGAAAGCTGCTTTTAATGAGGACTGGTTTGCAGGTGCTTTGCTCGTCTCAATTTTTTCTAAATTTGCAACTGTAATTATTTTTACTTCATGGAATTTGCACAAAAAAACCTGACCCCAGCAACAATCCCTTAGCACATGCTTCTAAACTTTTGAAAATACTTGTTTTCTAAGAAGCGTTTCTACAAAAAGCTTAGTATTTCATTTTCTAAGACATTGCCTGTTCATATTTGGCCCTCGTGAAAAACATTCGGTGAGACCACAGGCATAATGTTTTAAGGGAAAATACACACTTTTGCTGAGTGGACCTTAATCATTGCTGACCCTAAACCCTAAACAATTATCTGCGATTATGTGCTTAGAAATATTCTTAAAAAATCCTTATGAAGAAATTTTAAATTTTTGTCTCGGTCGCTCTGCATCACAAAAACGTTGTTGGAAACAAAACTTGCTAGCATTGTATAAGCTTGATAAAAATGTCCCACGAACATCTACAATACCTGCTTAAAGTATATGGAACACCAAGCAATTTGCATTGCATTCTATATCTTCCATTCCTTTTCCGACAAAAAATTTCCCTTTTCCCCTAGAACAATGTTGATAATTTAGAGAAATATCTTAAAAGAAAATGCTTCCTAAAACCCTAACCCTTTTCATAGTACACAAACTTTGTTCCGTGAGGGAGAGGGGAATGATTGATTTTGACCTTGGAAACTGACGTCAGTGTTCCAAGACTTTTGGCAGGCATGGTAGCTTGAAAGCCACGCTGATTTTTTGCTCAAAAAACTCAATGGTCTATTACAATCAGAAACTTTAATGGTCTATTACATTTTTCTGGCTATTGTTCGTGAATAATTCTTAAATTTCACCAATTTCGAGTATCAATTGTCATCCGATGAACTCTTCTACGATCTCTGGTTCTGTATGAAATCATGAAAGCCTTTAACGCATGCCTTGAATAAGTATCTACCAATATTCAGGGATACAGCAATTTCATAAAGGGTTTCAAAAACTATAGGCTTCTACGATGCTTCTCAGATTTTTGATACCTAAGGTGAGGTCAGTCACCCTGCCATCTTATATACCATGATACTACCCAGGCCCTTCGGGAGCGGGGCTGAAGCTTCAACCCAAATTCCCAAATATTTGCCTAAATATCATAGTGTTTTATTAAAAACTGCTGAAGCCCTCTCCCTCTAATACCAAATTGACTCTACTTTCTACCATAAAGAGTCCAGATCTCTGCATGGTCCACTCTATTTCATGTTTCTATAAACTTTGGTTTCGATGATACGAATTATCCACTCTATTCCATGTTTCTATAAACTTTGGTTTCAATGATAATAATAAGAATTATCATAGCGAGCATTCACAAGTACATAGAGTTAAAGTCACTTAGTTCTTAATTGTCCCTCTTTTGCAGACTCCACTCTGGCCTGTCACCTTGTCAGAATCTTCTCCATAATAGGCAGACAGTATCATGTAGATGATGATGATGATGGAAAGTAATAATGCAATGTAATAATGTCAACGTCATGTAATAATGTCAATGACAAGGATTCTGATTTCGATAAGGAATATCGAGATCAAAATGATTATGATGATGACACTGTGCTACGATTGTTGCAAGTTCTTAAAACTTTTTTACCAAAAACATGCATTAAAATTAGGTATTGTTCTAGGAATTTCGAAGCATGTCGAATTTTCGAATAACAAGAACAGCGCAAGTCAAATATGGCGGATTCGCGGTCTCCATGACAATTCGATCTGACTTGTTTTGATTTTGGTCTGATCGAGATCACGAGGAGGGGAAAGATCTCGTTTTTTGCATGTGGTATACTGTTCTTGAAATAATTTGGTATTTTGCACTGGTGGCGGGATTTCATTTGACTAGGACCATGCAATTTCGGAAATTATAATATGAATTACAGACCTCAGCTCGATGAATTATATAAAGCAATCAGGTTGATTTTCATGAACACAGATGAATCTTCCGTAGAAGAAGATTGAACTGGAATATCAACAACAAAGTAAGAGAACTCAGGGGTTACAAGTCGGCTGTTTCTGCCTATCAAGAAGCTGGTTTCTAATTTGTATGCAGAAGAGAGCTCAAGACTTTACATTCAAATTCTTTCTGCCGCCGTTAAAGGAAAACTTTCTTGATCGCGAGAAGAGAATTATACAAAGAAGAGAATTAAACAAAATGAGCAATCCACTTGCCGCTGTCGATATCTGAAGGAATGTCATTCGAAGAAATTAAGCTACAAATCAGAGAAGTGCAAGCCTCATCAAAATCTCATATTACGACTTGGTTCTCCTTGATTATTTTCGTTGCAGATCTTTCGATTACAGAAAGGACTTTCTAGACAATAAAGGAGGAAAAGAAGCTTTTTATTTAGTTATCGTAGATTGTTTAAGCTGAGACAGATAAGGCTTATCCCCGCTGAACACTTAAGACATTGGAGGAATTCAACCAATTTTGAAAAGTTTCTTGTGAAACTTTGAAATACTCTACACCAAAAAGATCTTTTGCTAAATAAGAAATAAACTTTTAGATGCATCAAAACAGTTTTACAAATCAAGTATGGCTTCGCCTGAGTACAGAAGGTGGGCTTCGGCATCGCGTTACTGACCTGAACGAAGGCGATCTGCCACCTAAGTCACCTGAATTTTATGAGATGTTACCATCATTAAGGTCATCGCCTATTTCCTTACTACAAGCAAGGCAGGAAGACAACTCGGATTCATTTCATGTTGTCCCTTCAGTTACGAACAAAAACACAGAGCCACTTAGTGTAACGGATACATACGAAACATTTTTACGAAATTTAGAATACAGTGATAATCAAGATTATGGTAATGATTTTCTCCATTCACCAGAAGAACTTCACTTGACACACCAAATAGTTGGAGAAGGAGCTTGCCATGATTTGTGTGACGATTTTCAGATATATTTACAAAATGAAACATCCCCAACGCCAGTTGAAAACTTGTACAGTACGCTACCAACACAAGAAGCTGCAAGAACATTTGAATTTCCAAATTTCGATGAAAACCAGAGACTTGAAAATATGGAGGTTTCTCAAACTGGGCAAAAGAAGGTGAGTTATACTAAAAAATCACAAAGCTCGGCAACAAATGATGACTCGTCAAAACATAGTGAATTCCCTTACGATTCTTTAAAAATTAGGCAGCAACAAAGTTCTCGTAAGAGAAAAACTTCAGAAACATATGGAGAAAGATCTAGAAATAAGAAGACAGATATTGAAAGAACAATTTCACGGACTAGTCGACCTTCGCATAATGATATCGAGCGACAGCGGAGAAACGACATGAAAGCAAGATTTGATGCATTGAAAGCCGCGATACCTGACATCGAGCGAATGGATCGTGCCCCGAAAATCCAAATTTTGTCAAAAGCGACTGACTATATAATGAAACTTCACGCAGAAGAAACAACTTTGGATAATGAGAAACAAAAAGAAAGAAAAAGAAATCGTTTGCTGTTAGACAAACTAGTTAAACTAACTCAAGTTGTATGAAAAGTTTTCTTTCAAATTAAGGCACGAGAAACTTATTGAATATGCTGATAATGAAAGGCATAAACAGAGTAATCGCAACTCCTAGACAATTTCAATATTTATACAGATGTTTGGCTTTAAAAAATCAAAGTTTTCTTGATAATTAAGAAGACAAACAAAACTTAGATATATAGTGGTTTCGTCGTGAAAGAAAAACAACTTTCTAGACATGAGTCAATTATATAAGATGTTATATTCCCGTGGATTCAAAACAAAGTATGTAAACAATTAAGCCTTGTTGCCTCTACTTGCAATCTGAAGTCTTTACAAGGTTTGTCTATAGCTTTGTGAAATTTGCCATTAATTTGCGCTCAGTAGCTTTTTGCTAAAAATTTGCTGGCTTCATGACATCAAAGAGAAACTGTAAATACATTATTAGTTTGACTAATTTAGTTTTTGTTGATTTTGCTATTTTTTAACTCTCGTAAACAGTTCAAGTTTACTGTATTTAAAGAGATTGTTTTAATTGTAATTTAGAATATCTATTTTAAAGATATGTATTTTCTGATAAAGAATTACTTAGAGCTATATTAATGATACATATGGATATCTATTGAGAATATATGCATGAAATTAAAGTTAATAGTCTATAAAAATTTATTTTCATTTCTCGATGTGACATTCCCCTAAACGCATTCACTGCCACCTTTTCTTTCTTCGCATTTTGTGCTTAAAGAAATGGCCTGGGTAAACATTATTCGACCCGCTAATGCTTAACTATTTGGCCTTCTCAAAAGACACCCTTAAACGTTTACTTAAGTACTTGACCGAATTCCTTGTTAAAAAGTTCTATCAACTTAAGGGTGTGGCTTTAATCATGGTGAAATTGGAAACTTAGTCTTCGGGGATAACCATTATAAAAAGGGAGAGTGTTAACAAGCACAATGGGTAAAGACGAAACATAATGTGCTCCGACAAAGAAAATACCGTTCTTTGACGTGGGGGCAGTCTAACAAAAGGCCTACCCTCTCGCTACTAATGATTAGCCCCTTTTTCTTGCACAAATCTGCGAATTGAACAATAACAACCATCAATAAGTATAGATGTTTCGATTAACGCGGGTCTTTGAAGAGATGCAAATAAATTTCCATAGATAAAGAACTGTTTGTTTTTCTTTCTACTTGTGTTCGTTCACAAACGTCGCCATCGATTGGTCAAAACACAAGCCAATCAAAAGTTGTTACCTTTAGGTTTTCGAAAAACGCCTGTGATTGGCTATTGTATTGCTGATCACGTGAAGTGTGTATTGATCACATTAAAAATCACATGAAGCTCCATAACTCTGAGCAATACTGTTTGTTCTATATGGACTCGTGTTCTATATGTTCTATATTTCTTTCACCTTTTAATCATTATCACTACAAAATCATAATTTTGCGGTGGCACTTTCATTATTTTGAAATTCTTTTCTTCATAATCCACATTTGTGAAAAAAATAAATAGCATAATTTTCACGACTGACGGCAGACATCGTGTGGAAATTTTAGAGAAAGAGCCTATTGCACGTGAGGCGTTTTGTGATCTGTCAATATTATAAGAAAAAAGTGAGTAGTCAAAACATTGTGTAGACATTGTGTGGTGAAAGAGCGTTGCCGATTGGCCAACACAAGTCCAAGTAGCTATTCTTTCTCTCGAGTTTTTTCGATCTGAATTTCAAATTTAATACTTTGAGGTGTCGGACGAAGAATATACTGAAGTTACAAGCGTCATTTTCCGCTATTTTTGTGCCATTTTGAAATTGTGCTATATCAGTGGCCTATCTGGTTTTGTAACCTTCCCGGTGTAGGTCTATGTTTTGATTACTAAACGTGTAACCACACCTAAACCCAATTTCTTCCCAACTTTTACGCTCTCTCTATCTGTTCTGTATATCCCTTGAAGGATTAAAGAATAATTTAAGGTCGGGAATAAACATGGGAATGAACTGGGTTGGGGTGGTTTAAATAATGCTGGAAGTCAAAGCCAAGTCCAAAAACTGTCTAAATAGGAAGGGTTTGATAAGTGGGGGTCGACATCTATTGAGTTAAGCATTGTAGAAAGTTATCGCAGGGACATTTCAAATATCGAATTTGAAGAATTAGTCGATGAAATGATGAGGATGAAAAAAGAGATATCCACAGATTGCGAAAAAATTAAACGGGAGGCATTTATCTCTACCTGAGCGAACGGTCATTATCAAGCGTGTAGCGCATGTGGTTACAGCCTTTTAGTAACCTGGGGTTTTAAAGGAACATACATTATCCAGCAATAAATCCCGCCAATTATTCAAGCTGTCTGATGTGAAAACGTTACCAGTGCCAATGTTCCTTTCGACCTGTTCTATTTGTTTGTTTAAATGACTCTTGATACGCAGGTCAAAGGCTTTTTCACATGACTCATTCAGTTTACTTTCACATGATTCTACACGTGGAAACTTGCAGGTATCTTTTCACATTAGCAGGTTGATAACGAGGCAAGAAAGTCGGTAGAAATTATGGCGGGAAGAAGTGGAAAGGAGAAGAGTTTTTCATAGGCATAAATGGGGAGAAACTGATAATTTTGTTGAAAATTCCATCTCCTCAGGAGTTTGCTGGTCCCAACAATTTTCAAATGGGCATTGATTGATTTATTCAAGCTTGACTACAGAAAGAAAGAAACATCAGGCTGAATTATCTGAAGCAAACCCAATTTTTATTACTAGCACAACTTGTAGCCAAAGCAGCAGGAATATTGCGAATGCGACAGTGATCATCTTTCGCGCCATTGTTTCCAAATATTTAGCAATAATTCCTTAACATTTCGAAAGTTATCTAGTTAATAAAAATGTATTAGGCCCAGGGCCTCTAACCTAATTAAAATTATGAAAGCCTTTACCCTTGTCAACAACAATCATGCTACAATTTAGCAAAAATATGCTTAAGTGATACCCCTTAACTTTGGGGGGAGGGGTGACTCTAGCTGATTATCACGAGATCTTCCTTTGATGGGGAGTTCGTTAGGTTGGAATTTCCTTGGGTGGGGAGTTCGTTGGGTTGGGATTTCGTTGGGTGGGGAGTTCGTTGGGTTGGGATTTCGTTGGGTGGGGAGTTCGTTGGGTATGGAGCTCGTTTGGTGGAGAGTTCATGAAATCAAGATTCCAGCAATCAATATCTTTCAAACAATTACGTTTATGATAAAATAGGATTGAAAATATTTGCCAAATTCTGCAAATTTTTAAAAAGTTCAAATAGAGTTTTGGAAAACTTATCCGATTCCATTTTAAAAAGCAACGTTTGTTTCTGACAGTAACCGATAAACCTCAAACAATCTTATTTACATAAATGAATTGAGCCTCGTTTTTCCAAATTTACCTAGTTATTCATCTAGAGGTTACAATGAGGTCAGCCAAAACGCAACAAATTTCCTTGTCTGTAAAACGGTGACCACGTCGTGAGGTGAAGAACTGTTTTCGCTTGAGTGTGTGCGAAGAAAAATTGGCAGCATGATAATCTATCTTTCTTACTGATTGTCACATGTACGATACACTAATACAGTCAATAATTAGACACGATACTACTGTTACTAAGGCTTGAAGCTAAGTACCAACATTTTTTACACAACGAAGGCAATAATACAACTTTTGGACTAGTTTATTTACAAATAAAACAATTCTGGGCATTTAAAATAGTCTGCATGAAAGCTTATGCTAAGAAGTAGTCACAAAAGGTTATTTGAAGTTATCCCCCATTTAACATCAAGTTCTACATACAGGATGAAAAGGGAAGTACGAAGTCTTGGTGTGTGATTATACCGAAAGTGAGAATCTGTCTCGCTACTACAAAATACTGAACGTAAGAGGATAATGGCATCGGAAATATTTCTGTTTTAATCAATGCACCAACTGCTTAGTGGGAGAAGAATAAACGAAGTTTATACTGCACAGTAATAAAACAGAAAAAAACTTTCTGCTGCATAGTAAGTTGTCTGTCAGTGTTTTATTGGACAGAAAACATGAAATCATGCACAAGATAATTTTGGTAAATTATTGAAAGAGGAACGTGACAGAACAAGTAGTGGAGGGGTGGGGCTGTTGTCTAAACAAGCTTGATTAAAAAGGTGTAGAGCGTTTACATGCCATCCTATGGTAGGACATAGTACTAGAATGTTAAAAAAGTGTATGTAAAAGCTCTTATGCGATTAAAAACGATAAAAGAGTGGGGCGCTGGTAAAAGATTTAGGCCTGACTCAAACCTGGGAGGTAATGAAAAGAGGTATCAAAGGTGCAATTGGACATTAAGGGGCAGAAACAAATCCACATGGGATGAACTACGGGTCTAACTGTCGTAGCACACTGCAAATCACTGTCATACGCAAGACTGTTCAAAAAGGGGTAAAATATGAAAGTTTAGCTAATGCGTGATATAAAAGTTAAAATAATGTAAAAATTAAAAGATTGAGAATATTTATTACAAAATCAGTCTAATAACTTCCAGTAAACGGAATAATTAAAACCGAAATGTCATTTCTTCATGGGAGACCTGAAATGCACATCAAGGCAATATAATGAGGAATCCTGCTATACCGTTTGAGAAGGAAAAGGTGTGTAGCAAACTAGAAAATTTTGCAGTAAAATGAAAAACTTGAAGTTTCTTCTGCTACACCATGCTACAACTCATAAAGAAGGAAGTTAAATTTTGAACTTTTTTTAAGCAGCACCCTGATTGGCTAATCCATAGCCTGGGACATTGAAGGTTATAACGGAAAAAACTTTCAAGCTAAAATTTCAACTATCAGTTTTGGATAAAAATAAACCAACATTTTGCAGATAAAAGAAAAAAATACATTTTCACAAGACCTTAAAATATCGCCCGTAAGTCTACCAATTTCGAAATCCAAAATAAAACTATCTACACTTAAATCTAATCATACTAATCTAAGTCGAACTCAAAGTCATCTAGGTAACCTAGATTACTCACAGATCGCCGTTCCCTAAAATTATACCTTAATGAGTCGTGAAACGTCTCGTTATGATCATCAAGTTCCTTTTCGTTCTGAAATCCAAGATCACATCTTGAACACGTGAACTCACCATGCAACTTGCCTACGGTGATGAATTCTCCATCTAGATCAACGCCTGCATCATCAAACGCTTCTTCGTCATCAGATATGGCCACTTTTGACCTTCGTTTGGTCCTTTTCTGGCTGTTTAAATTTTTTCCTATATTACTATATTTTCTCGCAATTATTTTTTTCCGCGGTGTTAATGATTTTCCAGACATTCGACGCAGCCTTTTCGCAGGCTTCAAGTCTGGTTTCACATCTATGCTATCCTCGAAAACCTGGTCGTCAAAATTTGCATTCAAATCAAAGCCATCCATTACATCATCCATCATATCATTGACATTCGATGGTGTGGTTGGACCAATCAGATTATTCGTCAACTCGCTTAGCATATCGTTTACATTCTGTTCACTATTCTTCGAGCCTTCATATTGAACGAGAGAGTTCAACGAAGTTATCTCATCTAACGTCTCTAAAGTCAATGGACTATCAATTTCCTCTCTATCAACAATTTCCTCTGTACAATCGACTTCCTTATTGTGGCCAGCCTCATTCCTAGTGGCATCCTCATTTTCACAAATAACTTCATTCCGTGGGCGAGCCTCGTTTCTACAGAAATCAAACTCAGGCGATCGTGTATTGTTGAAAACATTGGCATTCTGGACATCGCTTTTGGCGCTCTCTTGGCTATAAAAAGGTATTGAAGGACTGTTATGTGAAGGAGCAGAATAACTTCGGTGTATTCCAGTTACGACTTCAGAAACATCAACTGCATTCGAAGAGCCATTGGTATAGGGAACATCAAACAGGTGCTCTGGTGCTAGACAATTATTAAGTTGTTTGTGTACTTCTAAGTTCGATGCGCTCTCGAAAAACTTATTGCACCGTTCACAAAATGCTATTTTAGGGCACAGAGCTGGCGGCAATGATGCTCTACGGGCATTTGTAAAGTTGACGGAGTCATTCAAATGAAGTTTACGATGTCTCCACATTAAATTATAGCTTACAAATTTGTCGCTGCAAAAGTCACATTCGAAACCGAATTTTAGATCAACGTCATCAGGAACTGTTCGTTTTCTATTTGTTTGACTTGAATTTTCGTTGTTTGCCTCTGATCTTACTACCTTACTATCTGCTTCGTATGCATTATGGTTTCCCGTTTCATTACTTTTGCTAAATTTTGAGGGTAGATTGTTAATAATGTTACTGATGGGTCTTGTCGCCATGAAAACATTGGTTCCAGTTACTTCTGAAGATGGGACTTTTGCATTGTGTTCGTTTGAATTGAAAGGACTCACATCTCCATTACAGTTTAGTTCGCTAAAATCAAAGTTTGCAGAGCCAGTTGACACAGATCGAGTGGCACCAACTTTTCGAAACAACAAAGATTTTGGAACAGAAATTCGAAGCTGAGAACATGGTGCGGGTAAGTCACTTTTGCGCCTTGCAACAATATTAGGCTTGACAACTGAAGATGTGACAGGAGTTGCGTTTGAAAAGGAAGGATTTGTGCTAGTTGCCATAGATACTGATGACGTCACTACTGTCGGTCTAGACAGTGTCTGTGAAGCGGAAAGACTTGTTACTGACGGGGTTGAGATAGGGATACTTTTGTTGGCTTTGGAATCTTTACTTTCTTTTTTCGTTGGCAGATCGTGGGGCATTGAGAACAGTTTGCCGTCCTTCAGAGCATAGGTAACTGGACTTCCCTGAATGTTTATTGTGACAGTAGACCCTTCCTTGATGTCTGCCTTTAACAGTGAACGCAAACTGTTGGTCAAATCTGTAATACAATCACGGGGCATTGAGCCATCATTCTCTTTAGAAACACTTTCATTGCCCAGGTTTGTATCTACGGATGCAACAGTACAGGACACAGGTACAGATGGATTTGTGGTTGCTTCTACCCCGGTTGATGCCGCGGAAGTTTCAGAAGGCTTCACTGACTTCGACTGACTAATCATGTTCTTAGGAGATGCTGCGATGACAGAGGGTCGTGATGCTTCAGGCAGTACTGTTATGGAGCATTCTTGCACTGAAAAACCAACACCTGAGGCTGATGAGTTGGAGCCTACAGATGAAACAGGCTCCTGCTTAGAGGAGGTGTTGGCATTTACTAATGAAGCCTCTGAGCTGTCATCTCGTCCTACAGTTGTTATTGTTTGAGCTTTAACAGATGTTGGTTTTGGAAATGACGTAATAGGCTTGCCTATCACAAGTTTTGAAACGGAAGTTGATGGATAAGGAGCAATCTTTTGAAGCCTGGTTAAAGAAGTGGTAGTTGAAGGCAGTAGTGTTTGACTTGGCACAACGTGTACACCAGTCTTTGTTTGGTTTATGCTCGAGGTGGAAACAACGGAATACAACGATGAAAGAAGGACATTAGAGCTGACTGGCATTTGTTGTATGTTCATGCCAGGGAAAGACAACGAGACAGGAATAACCATTGTTTGTTTGCCAAAACGGACAGTATTTGTAGTGGTACTAGTCTGTGAAGTAGAGGTGATAGAGGCAGTGAGAATGGCCCTAGGAGCTGGCTGTATCATAACCTGCGTTCGCGGTCGGTTTCCAATCTGCAAGGGTAACGTTGTTAGATAGGTGACAGGGAAACGTTGCACTGTACCTGGAGCATTGGCTGGTGACTGCTGTTGATTTGCTATCGTTGTAGTGGGCTTGGGTGCAAGAACTGTTAGGTATCCTTGTGTTGGTCTTGGCAAAAGTGGTGCCTGTAACGGCTGCACAGAAGCTGGTTTTATACTCAACGAAATTGGCACAACATTTGGCACTGTATTCACAGGTCCAGCCATTTTCAAGCGAGAGCCAGAGGCAATTGATGCTAACTTGATTGACACTGGCAGCCTCTCAGGGCTCTTACCCTGAACTCCAGATGATGTTACAGCTGCTGTTATCGGCCTATAAACTTGAGGTAATGAAGTATTTGTGACAACTGGGGTCACAATTGGAGTTGTTAATGCCGGGGTATGGATAACTGACAAAGAAGGGACTAGCGATCGAGTAACAGACATGCTTGTCGCACGTGTTACTGCTTTGTTGGCAATCAGATATGACTGTGATATTGCAGGACGAATTTCCACAAACTTCTGTGTCGGAGCTAACGTTCTTGTTTGACCAATCAGTTGTGACACTTGATGAGCTGGCTGCGGCAAAACAGCAGTTAAGGGTAACACCGAGCTAATACCAAGTTCGTTAACCTTATTCTCTGTGGAAATCTTTTGGTTGACCGTTACAGGTATGTCCAAAATCGCTGTTTGTTTAATAATCTGCTTAATATCAGCTAAATCTTTCTCTGGTGCAACCTCCGCTCTTACCACAGAATCTTTTAAAGTAAAGGAAGCAGCGGATTCAGTTACAACAGCTGCTGGCCTTCTTTTGAGTTTTGATAAGAGAATCTGCACTAACAGTTTTTCCTTCACTGGCGATTTTTTAGGGGATGTTAATGACGTGATGCAGGCACCTGGCAGTGTAGGTAGGTATTGTAGAATTTCTGCTCCTGGAACCGTTTCAATAGCCTCCGCAGACCCTTTTTCGTTATTCTTTTTAACTTGGGCTGACTGATCTTCCACATCAGGAGCGTACATCAGATCCTGAGATATAACCTGCTCATTTAGTGAAGTAGAACTTGGTTCAACAACATTACCACTGTCTTTATCTGCAGCATTCGCACGTGTAACAAAAATCGGCTCTGTAGCAGTAGAAGACATTATTTCCATTGTGCTCATTACCACACTTGGTGACATAATAACAGGTGGCTCTCTGATAATTAGGCCTTTAGTTGTCGTTGATGTTTCCAAAAAGCTAATTTTTCTTGCAACAGTACTGCTTGTACAGGCTAATTCTAGCTTACCTGATGCCAACGATCGTCTCAAAATAGCAGGTTTAGGCCTTGGTGATGTCATATTCTGTGCTGACATAACAGGCTGTAATGTAGAACTGTGAGTCGTCTGTTGTCCTACTGTAGTAACAGGAGTAACAGGAACATTTTGGACGGTAGGCACAGCTAGGCTCGACGCTGTAGATTGTTGATTTTTGATAGATGATGTCATTACAAGATTTTGAGATTGTAAAGAAGAAAGTGCTAACTGTATCTGGCTTGATAAATTAGCAGTTGAAGATCTGGTTACTTGAGGTCCGACAATGATCGGTATTGCACCTGCTAACAACGATTTGCTTGGAGATAACGTTAATTGAATCCCTGATACTGACTGGCTGCCACTCGGGTTAATAGGAGCAGTGGCAATGAAAACAGCCTGTGGAGATGAATTGGCAGCTGTAGTAGGCTTTTGTGAAATTGGATTAGGCTGCGCAGTAATAAAGATCGGTCGTATTAGCTGAGATTGCGTTGATGCGTTCGGAGTAGTACCTGAAACAGTAGTTTTTGGGGCGATTGGGGTGCCACTGCAGGGTAGCAAGTGTTGCCCATTGTTGGTATCAAGGTAAAAACTTGGGAACTATTACTCGAATGTTTAATAATCAAGGTCTTTGAGCTCTGTGGAAGAAAGGCCTGTTGGGAAGTCGCGGAAGAAGACAAAGTTGATAAACTTGTTGGTGTACTTGATGTTGTGGTCACAGTGGCATTAGCTGAGACTTTGTGAATACTTGCGATAACACATGCGCCACCGGTGGACACATTAGAAGTGGCTGTGGTGGGCGTGACCGAACTTACAACAATAAGTTTCACTGGGGTTGACACAGGCGCTGATGTGCTTGCGTTTTCTTTAGGTGAATTTCTGATCACTGTCTTTACCGGTGGAGGATAGGTGATGGGCTTCTGTGTCGTTGTTGTTAATCGCATTTCCGGTGAATTTTTTACATTGTTTTGAACAGCAGATAGAAGATGAGGAATAGCTGAAACAATGGCAGAGCTTGATACTAAAGAAGACAAAGGAATAATCGAGTAGTTGGACAAGTTCGGGACAGATTTGTTGCTGCTGCGGAGGATTCTTACTGGCTGATTTGCAGCATTGTCAGTGGGGGAATTTCCACTACCAAGTGATGTTGGGGAATCCCCTGCTGCCGACAAAGGTAACAATACTGCCTGCCTCGTTTTAACACCGGTCGAACTTTTGGGCGAATTCTTAGATGGTGACGTAACATTAGCAATAATAGTCTTTACAGCGGTAGAATTTTGACCCTCACTGTTCGGGTTAAAGGTAATCAAGACTTTCTGCTCACCAGTGAATTTAAGTGTTGCATTATTTTTCATGTTTTGGATCTTTTTCAAGTCAATCGTCTCAGATTTCTGCTGCTGCGCTGAGTTTACAAGTTTCCATATCATCGGTGCTTGTATGGGTATTATTTTGCCAATCAAGGTGGTCGCAACCTTGGAAGTAGCAGTTACAGGTCGTTTTACTTGCGTCTGTGATTTACAATCGCGGTTTGTAAATGATGTTTTCTTTTCAAAAGCCATCGATGGCAGAGTCTTTTTTGATCTCAACGACTTTTTTAATTTTTTCTGTGTTGCCTTGAAATGACCAACAAAATGTTCCTTATCAGGTCCAATAAAATGATCCTTCTTGCTGCTAAATGCAGCCTTCTTTAAACTTTCATTTCCTATTTGCTTTGATTTGGCTAACATTAAACGTTCAGATTTCTCCACAATATTTAGAGCATTCTTCTTTCCTTTCAGCTTATCAATTACCTGCAACTTGCTCCGAGTTCGAGCCAGCTCGGTCGGAGTCCTGTCATTTTTGTTTCTTTCATCCACATTTGACATGCTTGTTTCAATCTTAGATCTTCGAATGGCTTCAGCAAGCCTCTCAGATTCTGACATCGACTCTGATGAATCATCATGACAAATCTCGCCTGCTGATGTCAGCTTCCTCAAACGCATCGAATTTGTGCTACGCCTTCGAAAATCTTGCGCTTCTTTTTCGGTCATTTGTTTCTTGCTTTCTTTTTTCTTGATTTTTGCATTCTTCACTGAATTCCCAGGCTCCGTTGTCGCCTTTCTCTTGTTACTAACATTAGCAGCAACCTGCTTATTAGAATTTACAACTGCCTTGTTTTTCTGGCTTTGCGATGAAATTGCAGCTTGAATTTTTTGCGCTTGTATTTTCTTAGTCGTTCCCTGTTTCCCAGTCACTTGCTTAGTAGATTGCTGTTTGTTTGTACTTTGTTTGTTATTTTGCGTTTTACTCGAAAAATGTTTATTTTGTAGCTTTTTATTATTTTGTTTACTGTTTCCCGGTTTATTTTGTATTTGTTTGCTTTTAGCGCCCCCCTTTGTAGCTTTTCCAGGCCTCTCATCGGACTTGGCCTCACTTTCATGTACATTTTGAAAACTGTTTCCGTGTGACCAAGTGGGGTCGATGTCATCGAGATTGTTAGTACCAATTGAAATATAAGATGGATAAGAGTACATCCGAGAACGACTGTCTCCAGATTCTGTTTTGAAGTCCTATGGATTTAAACAACACAACACTAGCAAGAAAAATTGAAAAAATTGAAATTTGAGACTGCGTTTACATATGCAGTGGTTGTTCTGAAAAGTTACGCATCAGCAATTATTTGATACCAGGAACTTTGCAAACCTTGGGAAAAATATGTCTGTATCACTGGAAAATACAACACCAGCATTTCACTGACACTGAGATTACCGCCGTCACTTAGTGGCACAAAGAGAGTTTGATTTTTGAAGAAGGAAACTTTTGCCGACAAATTCTCACAAAGAAGCGGAATTTTAGAACCTATTTCATGTTTGAGGGGAGTTATAGCCCTCTGCCCGGGTTCAATAGTCCTTCAACAATAATTCCCTAAAAAGAAACTCGATTGAATTTTATGTTAACATAGTCTCACTTTCCCATCGTTGTTTCCCATAATTGTTTACAATTTTATGGCAAAGCAAATACAATGGAATATTACTTTCGTTTTGAGGATACTCGACTTCTACATCAGTTTGATAAGTGAAAGACAGTATTGGGCTTGATCGTTTAAAGCAACTTCGACGTAGACAAGGCTGTCTTTAGTTTGTAGAAGAAAAGGTTACCCTTGGAAAATAATACTTACAAATACTCAAAGCAAAACAGATCACAGAAATCATGATTTCTACTCAGGGAAAGGTTCTTTAGAGTTTCCACATCATCCCCATATGACACTAATGATATTTACATCAATACCCTCGCATTGATAAAATGATACGAGAAAGGTGCTAACATATGATTATTGATACTAACCATGTTTACAGAATCAATAACTGTGGATTTTGTTAATAAGTTCCCATCCTGACAAACCAACACTTGCAATACATGGTTTGAGTCGAGTCCATGACAAATCAAGAATCGAAAGAAAATGAAAAGCCAAAATGAAGCAATTTCACAAGTTTTCTTTCCGAAACTAAGATCACCTTATTTTTTCTTAATTGAAATCACATTGTGAAAAATTGGAGAAGCTTTGAAAATTTGCAATTTGTATGGTGAAGTTCAGCAAATATTAATAATCCCCCTTGTTAAACTCTCCCCTTAAAAAAGGCCTCATTCGAAAGTCCACTAAATTCCACTAAATTCGAAAGTCCACCACAGGGCATCCACAGGGCAGTTATTTGAGCATCTACGGTATTTAGATGTCTTAAGAATCAAGGTTTTCAAAAAACATTGCAATAAGAACGTTGCCAGACAGACGAATAGCTATCTTTGAATACGAAGGCGTAAGTCTACACTTTTTTATTTTGCATGCACAAAAATGTCAGAATTGAATATACTTAGAATGCGAGGCAAACCCCACACGGAGGAGCCCCCCCAGTATCATTTCTAGAAAAATGGGCAAACTTTTTTTATGGTAGCTTTTCTGTCATTATCTTTAATGCCACAACCTTAATATCATACTTCAGCAAAAAGTGATGGGTTACAGCCCCCTTCGAACATTCAAGATGCCAGAAATGTTCGATTTTAGTTTCTGGTCTATAAAACAACATCAGATAACTGGACTTTATCTATAGAATAATGTGGCCACTCAAACCACATTTCCCACAGAAAGTTGCGCATACTCGATGAAATGTTGGCCAAGAGTGTCTGCCTGTCGGAGGCTGCCTGGGGTCGTCACTCTCAAATGTGGTTGGCAGACAAAAGCTTTTCACAAGTCTTCCAGCTTCAGCAGTACCAGCCTTAATAAAATAAATAAAAATGAAATAAACTCACATCGCTGATGCTACTGTTTGCTTTCTTTGCACCTTTTCCAAACTTTCCTGACTGTTTACCTTTGCTAAAAACGGTTGACTTTCTGAGCTGTCGTATGTCTGGTTTCTTATCTTCATGATCTTCCATATGACTGGTAAGATCTTCGTAACTACTGCATCCATGCCCACACTGGATACAGACAAAAACGAGCTCATCGTTAGCCATTGCTCCTCCACACAACCCTCTCTTAGTTTTACATCATGCTAGATCTGGAAGAAGAAGTGTCAATACATGATAATATTATGGACATGATCGTATCAGGACATGGCAAAAGTTCCAACACATGAAAGTGTCAATACATGATAATATTATGGACATGATCGTATCAGGACATGGCAAAAGTTCCAACACATGAAAGTGTCAATACATGATAATATTATGGACATGATTGTATCAGGACATGGCAAAGGTTTCCAGACATGTGGCAACACATGATAATATTATGGACATGATCGTATCAGGACATGGCAAAAGTTTCAACACATGGAAGTGTCAATACATGATAATATTATGGACATGATCGTATCAGGACATGGCAAAAGTTCCAACACATGAAAGTGTCAATACATGATAATATTATGGACATGATTGTATCAGGACATGGCAAAGGTTTCCAGACATGTGGCAACACATGATAATATTATGGACATGATCGTATCAGGACATGGCAAAAGTTTCAACACATGGAAGTGTCAATACATGATAATATTATGGACATGATCGTATCAGGACATGGCAAAAGATTTGAGTCACGAAAATGTCAATACATGATAATATTATGGACACGGTCGTATCAGGACAAATGTAGCGAGACATGATGATATTACGGACATGATAATATCAAAACATGATAATAGTATGGAAATGATTCCATCAAAACATGATAATATTTTGAACCTGATAATATTTTCTATTAAAATGATAGTATCAAGAAATGATAATAGTATCAGGACAAAACATTATTACCAGCATGGAAACAGCGCACTATCAATGTTGAAACGCTCTAAAACTTTAAAAATCTTCCATTCATTTTGTAATCAAGCAATCAGGCATGATGGGAGCAAAAACCAGGTAGTCACTTATGATAAAATGTTGTAAATAACAGAGAATTTAGATAATCAGAGAATTCAGACACTGATTTGTGTGTTTGTTGTTGCTTATTCTCGTCGTGTTGCGGTGTTCCTTATATACTACTGTTTTATCGACTTTTCGCCGGAAGATTTCCTCCGGAGTCCGCCAAGCAGCCTGCTATCGTGGCCT